GAAAACAATAAATCCACACAAAACTAAAGCAACATAAGAGATTCTCTTAAACTGAAAGCCTTAAGATTAAAAGAGTTTTCAACGTGGTTATTTCAAGAGAAAGTCCTATGCATTTTCAGATTCTATTTTAAAACAATGAATTTGTCCAATTTATACAATCATTTTATGCCAATAGAAAAAAAGAAAATATTTTAGTGCAGATATTGTTATTTATTTTGAACAAAATGCCACTAGAGAATTAAGACAGTGAAAAGGAAGACAACAATATTAATAATTGTAAAAAATTATCAATTATTCTAAGGTTTTTTTGTAAAATTTGTTAAATTTGAGCCTGAATATATCATTTTTTCGTTCATATTTATTCAAAATAATTTATCTTGCAAAACTAAATTTTACCAGAACAAATTCAATAAATTGCTCCAAGCAATTGAGCGTATTTCACTTTTAGATCGCCTTTATCTTTTTCATCAAATTAATTTTAATTTTTACCACCTCGCAATTTTATGCTTCCCTTTATTGCATGGTACATTTTTATCCCTCTCATTTAATTAACTATAAAATATCAATGATGATCATGCTGCATTTTTATGACGACAGGTTCACACCGTACATCTCCGCCCACGCGCTAATTAATCCCCGTCGAGAAAATGCATATTGGCGACGTCCATATATTTTGCCCCAGGTCAAGGCTCTGAAAGTTCACGCGCTACGACTGCCGATCACGACGAGCTGATCGTCTCTTTGCAATAATAATAATAATAATAATAATAATAATAATAAACAAATGCACATTCCACACTTACTAATGTATTTTTATTAATCAAGATAGGATAAATCATATCACCTGCGGCTTTCTGCGGAAAAAAAAGGTTTGCTCAAGCGTGTGTGTCCATTAATATTTCCAGAGGCTAGATTATAAATCAAAGCGCGCGGTGCAGGTATAATAAAAAAGGGACGGCTACACGAGATAATAATTAATTCCCGATCGGCCCATCAAATGAGCAGCCGAAAAGAGATAATTACACAGCTCATTAGGGGCCGTGTATATTCAAATGAGGCTGATTAGACAAAATACACGTCCATCAGAAAGCAGTTTTTTTTTTTTGTCAAGAGGTGGTAATAAAGGGAAGTGCAAAAATTAAAATATAATTTAAATATCACGGTGCGACTTTTTTAATTAAAATAACGCCAAAAAGTTGTCAAAGTAATTGGAGCGCGAGAAAAATGAATTGCGATAAAATCGGTTCAAGTTTCGGATTGCAATCTTAATGCCAAGAAGTGGTGTTGCTGCGCCGCGAGACCACTTACAGGCGACATAGTACAAGAATGGCCGAGGTATCACACAACTCACACACACCTAAAAGTTTCAAGTAAGTAATTTAGCGCACAATGCGCCATTTTTTATACTTCCCTCGGCGCGGCAGCCGATAATGCGATAATAAGAATAAATTTGAGCCGGAATGCCTGAAAAAACGCCAAGCAACCCACTGCCTTTTATCGCATAAAGAGTTGTCTGACAGTTTGGTATAATAACGAGCCAGCTGGCCATCATCATTTACCAGCCAGCGAGCGAGCGAGCGGGGCTGAACCCTTCTTTATGTATTTATTTATTACAAATACGTGGGTTCCTCGACTTTCCTAATAAGGCAGTAGGGCACATAATGTTTTCCTACACGTTGGCAACCTTCCTTTTTCGACCTTAAGTCAGCACCTCCCTTAAAACCCACATGGAATAAAATATAAATCGAGTAAGAAGAGAGAGAGAATGAGCAGAGGAGTTGCTGCCTGGGCTGCTTTGGCATTACATCTTTAGGGCGCTGAATTGGCTCTTTAATTTTGCGCGCTGCTGCCTCCTTTTATTGCACCACTAAATCAACTTATTGTAATAAACTCGACTAAACAACACCCACTCGAAACCGCGTGCAGTGTGAAATTTTCGCCCCGAACCACAATGGAGGCTTATTTGCATATTTTGTCCACGCGCATTTGCGCTTTTTGCACGCCTTTTAATCTGATTTATTGTTCGTGTCCAACAAAATATGATTTTATTTTTAGATGTTATAAGATTTAAAAAAAAAAGTTTTGTTATATAGTTACAAAAATAATGTTTCTTCTTATGTCTGAGAGGAAGAGCGTTTGATTTACAAAAAGTAGTAAATTTGTGTTCATTTTTTTCCTTTTCAAATATTTTCCTCTTTTTCTTATTTGAAAATAGAGCAAAATTTTATGAGGGTAAATTAAATTTGGTGTTTTCAGTAATTGTTTGTGCAAATTAAAAAAGAACAATTTTTTCTCTTATGTATGCAGTCTATTTATGCGAAATATTTTTATTCCTATTTAAGTCCAGTACATATTTTTATATATTTATGACACCAGCAGGCTTTGCGTCTTGAGGCGTACAAAGAACATCCTGCGTTGAATGCACTCCTTGCACAGTTTTATGTAACTCCGCAGGGAATAATAATTATACAACATTGACCAATAACAGCGCAAATAACAAGAGTTCATAAATAAGTTTTGCTTATTCTCTTCTTTCTCAATATAATTAAGTACTATATTCCTTCTCGAGAGTGCACTTTGATTACAATTATTCATCCGCCTGAATTGCAATGTGTGTAACAAGAATATATTATTATATCATCAAAAAGGGAGGATTTGCGTTATTATTTATTACAACTACAATAGACTTTGCTTCAAGAGTTTCTTACAACGTAGAGTAAATATTTATATAATAATATTATCTCTTTTCGAGTTTTAACCGTCGTAACTCGCAGGACAAAAATGCAGGACAATCTTTGGAACAGTCTCTTTAAATCAATTTTCCTGATAGGCCATCAAAGAGTCAATTTGCAGACAACAAGTAGTATTATTATTATTACAGGTGTGTTTGTTTTCAGGTAATGTGTTCAGTTTTCAAATATAATGTGCATTGGATAAAGAAGGGTGTGTTGGCTTTTTGGTAAAGTGAGATTAAATCTGATAAAATGTACAATAATGGACGTTCAATCCAGCAATATTTTCAGTTATTTAGATTTCATTTAAAAGCTTTACGTTTTGACTAGATATTTTAGGAAGAAATGTGCTGTGGAAAAATTAGAAAATGCATTACGAGATGATTTCCTTGATGCAAGAATGAAGCAAATTATAAAGGTCTAAAAGTACAACACCAATTAAATTCATACCTAAAGATATGTTGCTAAAACATTAATCAGTACAATCACTTTTTCACTCTAGAGCCAATGTACAGTTATCACTGATCTTTCAATACAAAATAGAACAATCGCTTAATATTTTTTATAAAAGCAAAAACATTCCTACATTCGTAAATGTGAACCCTTGAAATTGCACCAGTTCTGTTAAAATGTTTTTCAAACCTTTGATTCGACTCATGAATAAACAATCCACAAGATTATACATGATCAACATTAAATATATATCAATCCAAAAATTTTCAGTGCCATCACAACATTAATTCCAGATTCACAATTATTACTTTGATATACAACACCACATAATGTTTTGATTGCGACATTTTGTCTCCTCGAAAAACTGTCTAAACGCAAGCTAATGTCTCTACATACAAATAGGGGAATAGGGTTTTCACAAGTCGTTACTTGCGAACAGATCGGTCGTTTTCAGAATTTAAAATTATTCACTTGTTATGAGGACAATTAAGTTTGGAGGAAGGCATATGTTAGTTCGTTTATGTTTAAAAAAATGAAGAGAAAGATTGGCTGTACTTTCAAAAATTTGAACTAATGGTGTATCCATCAATATCAGCATCCGAGAAGGCAATCTTTTCTAAAAATTTTAAATTTGAAGCGGGTTGTGTGGATATAATATTTTACATCACATCAAAAGTAATTATAGCCTTAACAGCCTACAAAGGAGGAGGAGATCGACTCGAATGTTTATCATCTAGCTGGCGATTTGCTGATTCAAGATCCTGCAAATCAAAAATTTTAATCAACACCTTCTTTAGAAAAAAGAAGCACCAGTACAACAATACCTGATATTTAATTCCAACGTTTTGGTTTGGTTTTGCTCGGTAATATCTCATTATTCCGTTACAAGTCCACATCAATAAAACCATCACAAATGCACCAGCCCTAAAAATGCATTAATAGTTATTAAATGATGCAAAATTATTACGTAATTACATCATAAATTTAATTGAAGGTGTGTTAATTATGAAATAAGTTCCTTACCACCAAATATACCATGGGCTGTTGGAATTGCTGCAGCACTGGTTGTCACCGCAGCAGTACGAGTTGATGTCACACAAATTCCACTCGCAGTAATATGCATTAGCCTTGTGATGTAAAAACACAGTAAATAATTAGCTTCGAATTGAACGATTTTAACCCGCTACGTACCTCATTAAACGCAGAAAAGAAGGCCAGAAGCCAAAATGAACTTTGTGGATAAATCGGCATTTTATTGGCGTCGCAGTTTCTCAGCAAAGGGTATCACAAACAGTCATAACAATTGAGATCCTCCTAGTTCGCTGAGAAAAAAACAATTTCCGATTTGCTTTAATATTAACCTTTTAAGTCTCACCTCTGGAAATTGCCGATTCGATTAGGTGATAAAGCAGGTGCCCAGACCATGAAGAGAAAACATTTTTTATTTTGTTTGCTGACGATCGAGTAAAAACAAGGCTGGTCCTCCCCGACAAGGTCAAACGGAGCCAGCTGTGTGGTTCGCCTCTGACACAAGGGCGCAGACTCGAATGGCTATTTGCGGTTATAGGCAACCTGCGTGACTCCGATGAAAAGCGGACAGCATGCCTTTGCAGCACGCAACTCTTCTCACTCGCAGTCGATTCAAATCAATATCTATTTTTGAATAATAAAAGGTTGCTCATTCCCTGCGTTATCTCTTTTTCTTTTAATTAAAACCAAATTTTCAATTCAATTAAAAATTCCAATAAATATTTAATTACTGCATAATGGGATTTCATTTAATTATTTTCTGTAATAAAACAGTAATTTTTTTTTAGTTTCATGTATTTCTAATTTTTATTAGTCCAACACATTTATTACAAGATAAAAACGAAATTTTAATTAATCCGTCCTATTTAATTACTAATCTTTTGTCAGGCTGATCTGCCAGCTCTAATTCTGCCCTATTCACAGTCCACAATTTATTTTCCTCATTGAATTCAGACCAGAAGAAATAAGTCCCATTGCTTTTTGTGCCGCGAACGTTGACTTGGAACTGGGCCTTTCCCTCGTGACAAAAATTATTTTCACTGTCCTCTAAGTACATTTTGCCCATTTTGATTGGTTTGCCAAGAAACTTCACTGCACCAGGATGTTCTTCCAACTGCCGAAGAGCTGTTTTGAAATACGGCTGACTCTTCAGACGGTCTTCGATTTTGGATTTTATGTAAAAGGCAGCGCTCACAGTTATTACGGCGCCGTAAGTGGCCACTTTTGCCAATGTCCTGTTGGACCACACTGAAAGTTCAAACAGGATGTTAGAAAGCTGCACAGACAAAGCAGATCCACGAAAATAATACCAGACTATTTTGGTTATATTGTAAAATAATCAGACAATTTCTTCTTTGGAGCAGTAGTAGGGCATTTCGTCGATGTGGACAGTGACGATGTGCCTTCCAGGGACCATGACCAATCCAAGCACTCTGGGCTCCTCGGTGGTGCTCAGCTCGTCTCCTCCGAGATACTCTCGACAGTTGCCCAAGATCACATTGGCATCTCTGTCGGTGCAGAGAAAAGACCCAATCAGGACTCGACCGTCGGTCATTTCGATTTTCAGCGTCCGATTGAGCCAAGAACGGAGCTTTTCGCGGCCTGGAGTGTCTCTGGTCGGAGACTCGGAGTTGGTGGACACGTTTTCAGCACTGCCCTCCATCTTCATTGCTGGAAAGATTACGGCACCGCACTTTACAACCAAATTGAAAATTGCAATTATACATTTTCGTGGATCTGCATTCTTATAAATCTCAGTATAAAAAAAATACATGCAACAGTTAAAGTAAACTTTAACTTTAAATATTACATGTTTAAATAAAATTTCATAATAAATTGATCTAAATATATTTGAAAATATTTATTTACGTAGCTATTTTTTTATATTTAAATTTAAATATAGTTTGGCAAATAAGAGAACAAAATTACTTACTTAAAGAATTCAAAATTGATGTCTTCTACCAAAATAAAACAATTCTGAGCTCTTTTCACCGAAGTCTGCGGGCGTGTTTTGAACTAGAAATTAAGTGGAAGTGGAAAATGATATGATTCGACGTTTTATTATTAATTTTTTAATTTACCGGATAATATCAACTGTATATGTGCTCCCAATCAACGAGTAATTTCCCGTACAGAGGTGGAATTAAGCAAAATATACTGGGGTCGAGTTTTATTTTGCAGTGTTTTCTTTCTCCATCCCGTCTAGCCGTGCCACGCCCCCTTCTCGAGTTCACATTAATCGCGTTCGCTTCGGATTTTGCGGCAAATACGAAGACGGCGCATCACGATTAGCCATTGGTAGAAAGACAAATGACGAGCACAAAACAGTAATCAGTAATCTCTCTGGTCGCCCAATAATTTATTTTTGTGTACATCCAGTCGCATGCATCTCGGTTGCTTCACCGCTTCGAGCTTGTGCGAGGTGAGCGTCCCGAATTTCGGGCCGGGAACGCTTGATGGTGGAACGGCGCTTTTTCTGTTTGCAGATTATGCGGGCGCCGAGTTCGTGAGGCAATCCGTGGGTCATCTCGCGCACAGTGGAGGCCAGCAGCTCTGAAATAATGCGTGAGGGAGGCCGCCGAGGTCGGCTGTGAGCGCGAGGAATCTCGCCCAGCATGTGACAAGCCCCCGAATTCGAGTCCAACTTTTGAGATTTTGTGCAAAAATCTCGCAATGGCCTACTCGGTAAAGAAGTGTGCTTTGTATTTCTTCTTACATTGATCAATCGCAGCGTGTTAAAGAGAGATCGAAGGCCATGACAATCGAGTTGCGAATTATTTTATTTAGCGCGTCACACATTTCGGTTGATTAAATTATTGATTACATATAATAAAATCAATTATTAATTTTTAGGACGTCCAAGTTACTTTTGAGTTTGGACACCGGGCGGCCATCAGGACCAAACTAACTCCTGAGGGATACACTCACGATTGGGAGGTGTTCGTGAGAGGAGCCGACGGTGCGGACATCAGTCACTTTGTGGAAAAAGTGGTTTTCTACTTGCATGAGACGTTTCCAAAGCCAAAGAGAGGTGAGAATATTAGCATGTGCACGTCAAAAGTACTTATTAAACAGGATTTTTAAGGAGTCAAAAATAAAATAATTATTTGCTGTTATTTTAGTCATCAAGGAGCCCCCGTACAGCGTGAAGGAGTCTGGCTATGCCGGCTTCAATTTGCTCATCGACATCTACTTCAAGAACAAAGACGAACCCAAGAAATTCAAGCACAATTACGACTTGAACCTACAGTCGACCGGCCCAGCTATTGTCAAAGCACTGAGGGAGAAATACGTTTTCACCAATCCTTCAGGGGACTTTCGCAAAAAGTTGCTCAAGGGTGGAGGGGTGAGTGAGAGTCTCGTGAGTGTCAAATTTTTGTTTTAAGCCCTCGCCTATTAATTAACTAACTGGTGCAAATGCATGCCCAGTGGAAAGGCGTAAGATACAAATTTATTTAGGGAATTCTGCTTTTTAAGTGGTGCTGGTTTGGTTGGATACTTGGAATTTAATAATAAAATAATAGGGGAGAAAGATAACATGTTGAAGTCATTTAAAAATTTCTCAGAAACTTCATTATTTCAGCTCAAAATTATTTAATCCTTTAATTAAATATTTCCTTTGCACAATTATGAAAAAATCTTAAATATATTTTGCAGATTGGAATCGACGCACCTGTTAATGATAAAGCATTTGGAGATGCCACTGGTAAATCACAAAAGTCTTCAAGCTCAAGTCACTTAAAGCCACCACCAGAAGTAGCTAAGAAGCACAAAAAGGTTTAATTTTGATGCAAAAATAGCAAAATTAATTTCCCTGACTGGCTCGTCTTATCTTTGCAGGAGCCTGAGATGAAACCCACTAGCCAATTCTCGGAGCTCTTCGGCGACCCAATTAAAAAGACAAAAGTGTCGCCAGATCCCAAGAAGCACTTGGCAACACCCTCGACATCAAAACCGTCAACATCCTCGGGAGGAGGCAAAGGTCCTATCGTAAAACCCGGCAGCAGCTCTGAGAAGACTTCTTTAAATGATAAGGTGAAATCCGTCACTCCTAAGGAAGAAAAGAAGGAGGATAAAAAACGTGATAAGAGCAGCAGCAAAGAAAGTAGTGATAAGAGAATGGCCAAGCCATCGAGTCCGTTGACCACTGTGAAGGTCAAAGAGGAGGTAAAAGTGAAAGAAGAGCCGGCGGAGAAGAAGAAAAAGGACAAGAAGTACAAGGACGAGAAAGAGACCAAGATCAAGTACCCACTTGTCGAGAAGCCCTCCAGCGACAAGTTGGACAAACTTGTGAAGGACAAGGAAACAAAGAAGTCACCAAAGCCAACTAGCAGTCTTAGTTTACTTGAGGAGAAAATGAGGCACAGGGAGCCGGAGAAGCAGCACAAGAGCAAACACAAGAAGAAAGACAAGGAGAAAAAGGAGAAGAAGTCTGAGGGCAAGGACAAAAAGCGCGAGCCGAAAGCGCGCGATGAAGCCAAATTCAAAGAGCCGGAACCACATTCACCGAGTCCGCCAGCTCCCACGAAGGTGAATATTGACAAGCCTTCACCTTCATCTCAAAGAGAAAAACCAGTCAAAAACCCTCTCTCAACCCTTTTTGCCCAGCTCTCTGATGAAGACAACAGTGACTCAAACAACTCGATGTCTGGCGACGAAGACATGGAGTTCCCTATGGCGAGGGTAAAATCGGAGGAGCCTCCTCCGAAACGAGACACTGGACCAAAAAAGAGGGAAGTTGACAAGAAGAGCAAAAAGGACGAGGAGAAGAAGCGGAAGAGAAAAAGGAGCACCGACTCCGACGAGGAAGTCGAGCCCCCAGTCAGTAAGAAGGACTCTTCGTTGAACAGTCAGGACATGCTGCCTCCTCCTCCACTTCCGATCAACAACTCGAGGGACGAGTTTTCAGACATCACACCAGAATACGAGTCAGAACTTCGCGAACTGCAGCGGAAGATCATGAATTTGGACGATGATCACGAGTTGCAGAGATTGGTCAGTTTGATCACGGAAACGGGCAAGTACGAAGTCACCAAGAAGACTTTTGATTTTGACCTGTGTACGTTGGACAGAAGTACGGTTACAAGACTGCAGGACTTTTTTAGAGCGTTATGATGAACAAGTTGACGAAATCTTCAGTGTGCTAGTGGCGAAGTTCATTATTTTTCTCGGTTTGCCGTTGTCAAAGACACCTGCACGGGGCACAATTATTTATCTGAAGGTGCAATAATTTGTTCCAATAGTGCCAAGTGGAGAATCTGATTTGAAAATTAAATTATTCATATATTAAAATGATTCGTTGCCCGCGCAGGTGTGCTTTGCGATCGCAAGCGGCTCATTTTAATCTCCTAGAACACAAGCTCAGTGTTGTCTTGCCATCCTGTGCCATCTTATGCTCCCCCCATCGATCTGTTAATGCCGTAATATAGCAATGCATGGAGAACATTCATTTTAATTTGTAAAGAATTTTGTTAAGTTTGAGTGGAGAGACCTGGTGCTCATCCAGTCTCTGTGTAATTTGTTTGCTATTTAAAATTGGTGTCATCGTAGATGTTTAGGTCACAGAAAAGGCCACGTTGTGCGCAGATGAGATGATTAAGATCTTGGAATGATTGAATTTAAATTTACGGTTGTGATCAATCATGTAGCTGTGGGTTTGAGGTTTGCATATTTGGGTGCATTTGATAAACACTGTAAATAACTATATCACACAAATCTGTACATTTCATGAGATGTGCGAAGATATCTTTGAATTTATTTTTTGTCGACATCATCGTAGCTCCCAAACAAATGCAAAAAAGAGCCATATCAGTATTAGGTGAAAATATCCTCTCTTCACAGTGCTAAAGTCAAACAAAGAAATGTAGTTGACATGATTAAAGTAAGTGATTCTGTGTGAGTGTGCATACAGTCATTAGCTTGATACTCCTGAAACTATTTTTATATTTCTTCTGATGTTCAAAATCGACCGTATCAATATGAAAATCATCATTTTTTACCTCAAAACTTAGCAGCCGGCATTGTAGGGTGAGCGAGCTGTTTTTTTTTTTTTTACATCTGGATTTTTACAAGACTTATGTTTTTTCTTGTAAGTTACAAAAAATATTTTCTTCTGATAAAAGCGTCATTTTAACTTAATTTTAATCGACAATATACTTCAAAACACATATTGTGTGTTGAATTATTTAAATTTGAGTGTGATTTTTTTTATTTCATGATTTTTGTTGTTGAAAAATTGACTTTTCAAAATATTTTACATGTCTTGAATAAAATTTGTACACAATATACTGTAGATTGTACTTGCTGAAATATGAATTTCAAGAAAAAATCTACCATTATTATAAAATAAAGAGCGGTATTTAAAATAATATATAAAATGATGATAAAAATGATTATTATGAAATAAATCATGTTCATCGCTTATTAAATTATAACATTTATTTTCATTAAGAGACCTAAACACAAGCATGCCTGTGAAAATTTAAAAAAAAAATGTTTAAGTATTATAATATAATGAAAATTAATATTATTAATTTTGTCAACTTTCCAGAAACTATTAATTTTATTGAAAACTGTTTTGCATGGAACTAATAATCTTAAATTTTAATCTTAAGTGACTTAAGTCCCACGTAGCGCACAAACTATAATTTTTAACATTTTATTTTTGTGTGGTCCTTGTGAAGAAGAACATTTAAACTTTTTCAACCTTTAGCGCGCTTTTGATTCGGCTCGAGAGCGCTTACTTTCAAAAATTCGCTCAGCTGCAACATGGCGGGCATCGACGACTATCAAATGTATTTGGCTCATCAGTTATCGCAGGAACAACGCGAAGAATGGGAAAAGAAACTCGAGCAGGACAGACAGCAGGACCGAAGGCCTCGCAACCTTCGTCTGCAGACGCAAACCTCGGCCTCTGCCAGGCAGCAGCTTCTGCAAGAGGTCGCACTTGCAGAGGCCGAACTTCAGGATGGTTGGTTTTGCGCTTCAGAATTTCAAAATAAATGGGTTTTTCCAGTCGACAGCTTTGGCATAATAGAAAATCCACTATATTTCTCAAGCAGCCTTAATGTTATTTTTATAAAATACTATCATTATATTCATTTTATTTTATGTCTGCAGATTTGGAAGTGAAAAGATACGTCGGCATTGGAGTCGGATGGGCTAGCTTGATTACGGAGCACTTACTGAGCCACCCATTTGTTGTTTTGAGACGTCAGTGCCAGGTAAATTTTTATATGAAAAAATAAGAGCATTTTATCAAAAAAATTATAATGAATACGTTTTTGTATTTTATTGGCTAAAAGAAAGTGATGCAATTTAAAATTATAGGAAAATTGGGAAGATTTTCATGTTGAAAATGTTACAGGTCCATAGCAGCTCCATCCGCTACCACCTTGTTCCTCTCACCCTGATTCCCGTCATAATAAGACTGCACCAACGCCAAGGAATCACAACCCTTTGGAAAGGAATTGGAAGTGTTCTTTTGATACGAGGAGTAAATTTGGCGATCGAAGATGTCATTTCGAAGTTTACCCCTTGGCCAAAGTAGCATAAAATTAAGCTTCTCAAAATATAATTTTTAACAATGACTTTAAAACTTTTAGGGAGATTACAGCCAACAGCTCGTTGCGATCCTTGGGCCAACACATTTTGCTTAAATGGTTAGAAATATATATATTTTTTAAATTAATGAATAATTTGATTTTTGATTTCAGCATAAGTTTTGCAATCGTCACACCCTTTTACTCCGCAAGTCTGGTGGAAACGGTCCAAAGTGAAATTGCTAGTGAGCGGCCAGGAATATTTGACGTTTTTAAAGAAGGGGCCTGTAGACTATTGAGCTGGGGAAGCCCTCAAAATGGTACACCAAATATTAAACAAAAAAAATTAAAATCAAGAATGATATTTTCTTTTTTAAGGCCGAATGCTTCCAGTTTGGGCCCTTGTTGTGCCTACGGTCACATACTGCGTGCTGAAGTATTTGTTCGGCATGGTTGTTCAAGGAGCAACAAGCAGGATTCTTCAGGTTACTCAGAAAAAGGAGCAGCGCAGAAGGGTAAAAACATAACAACTCAGAGAGAATTTTGAGAACTGAAAACTAATGTTTATTTTTAACAGGGTGCGTTTCCTAAAGATCTCATCAACCAGCCTCCCAACCAGGATATTGAGTTGGCCTCCTGTTTGGTTCGGGACATTGCCTCCGATCTACTATTTTATCCCTTTGAAACTATTCTTCACAGGTGAAAAAACATTTAAATCATTAAATTTTTCAATTATATTAAAAAAAAAAATTATTTTAATTTATTTATTTTAAAATTATAGATTGCACCTTCAGGGCACACGAACAATTATCGACAACCTCGATTCGGGTTACGAGGTGACCCCCATCCTATCCAGCTACCTTGGAGCCAAAGATTGCCTAGAGACTGTTCAGCAAGAGGAAGGGGTCGCCGGTCTGTACAAAGGGTTCGGAGCCATGCTGCTCCAGTACGCAGCACACTTTGCTGTTGTCAAGATCACGAAACTTGTGTTAACCGAGCTCACTGTTCTTCTGCGATCCTCCAAAGCAAAACAAGACAGCGTTCCGCCGCCCTCACAGGGCCCTCCCTCTGTCCAAATAAACAGGGGCTATCCCGGAACTCCGACCGGCTATCCTGGCACTCCCCAGTATGCCGAGCCACCTAGAACGCCGTACGGATACTCCAATGACGAAGTAAAGTACTTCTACCCTGAATAGACTTTTTCAGACACATCATCTTTGATTATTTGGCCATCGCAACTAGTCCGTTGGGTTTTAAGTTTTTGAGAGCTGTGCTCGGTACCTTTTGGCAACTTTGGGAGATTTAAACTGTTTGGCTATAGAAGACAATTTTATTGTAGACAAGCAGTTTTAAAATGTAAATATTACTTTAGGATATCCATTTTAAGTTGTTGAAATAAAGTTCCATAATTCATTTACAAAGTTATGTTTATTTTGTCTGAACATTAATAGGAATTTTAGAAAATTCAATCAAACTTAATTTTCTTGTTTGTCGGAGTGGTGGAAATTTGAATAGCACTCTGCTTCCTCTTTGCCTCCCACGAAGGATGGAGTTTTTCTGCCTCCTGTGAAGGTGGTCTTTGTTTCTCTTGGTAATCTCCACTTTTATTTCTTCTCTCAATGCCCAATTTTCCATTCTTGAATCTGTAATTATTTTCATTAAAAAACAAATCGATTGAAATTTTTTTCACCTTACCCTTTTCCCGAGTCTCGAGGTTTAGGACTCTTCTGCCCCTTCTTAGCATTGCTATGCAAATCTCCAAATGAGGATCTTGTTCGTTCATTCAGTTCCTTGTTTCGAGCGTGGTAAGTTCTGCTCTGGTACGACTTGTCATTGTACTCCTCTTCACTGCTCTCGGATTCATCCTTCTGCACTTCCTCGTCGCTCGAAACTTCCAGGCCATCGGATGACAAGAAAAACGAATCTTTTTTGCCTTTATTTTCGACACCATTTTCTTCAGCAACAGTACCATGAAAGAGTTGCTCCAAATCTTGCAGAGTTTCTAGTTTCTTCACAACTGCAGTTGCCACTTTGGGCTGCACAGGACTTTTCTTGCAGAATTTCAATAAGGGACTCTTGATTTCTACAGCTTCTTCTACGAGTTTCTGTTTCGGTGTTTTTGGTTTGGCTTCTTTTATGTCCTTCTCAATTTTTGTGCTTGACGGTATTTTGTTGGAATGTTTTAAATCAATGATGTCTTCTTTTTTCTCGTCTGGTTCATCTACTTTTTTCTCAACTGATTTCACAGCTTTTTCCTTCTTGGAAGATTCCGCACGTTTTGATTTGGGTTTCTTGGTTCTTTTGTCAGCTTTGGGCTTCCGCTTTCGGAATTTCCTCTTCTTTGTTACTTTTGCTTCGGGGCAGAATTTAGAGGCAGCTTCATCCCAGCCGTCGTACTTAGCTGCTATTTCTGTAATGTACTGACGCAATTTAGCTTCAATTGCAACTCTTGCCATGGCTTTTTGTTTTGTATTGCTGGTGCTCTGGAATTTAAATTAAATATTTAAAAAAATTAAAAATTATACACATTTTTAAAATCTTACAGAACTCAGGACAGTTTGGCAAGTCTTTAAGTCATTAGTGATGGCAAATTTCACAGCATCCTCAACTCCAAGTCTCTGAAAAAGAATAGAAAAAAATAACATTTTTAGTGAATTTTTGCAAAGCTTTTAAATCGAACCTTGATTGCTTCCATGCTCTCGAGCTGGAGATCTGCTCTCTCTTTGTTTTTAGGATCTTTGTCAACTTGACTTTGCAGTTTCCTTGCTTTGCGAATTAACGATTGAATAATGTGAATTTTACACACTTTGGCAATTTTCTTCAACTTGGAAATCTACGAAATAAATTTATTAAAGAAAAAAAAAAAATATGTAATTTCTAGAATAAAATTACCTCCACAATCAGCTGCTGGTCTGTAAGCGTTCTGGCATTAATTTTCTCTTTCTCTTTAGACTTTTTAGGCTTCGTTTCTGCTTCAACACTAGCATCATTTGAATCAGATTCTCCACCGGAATCCGTCTCCTCGTCCATGCTTTCTGCAGACTCCTGCAAAATGCGCGTTCGCGTGTCATATATATTTCCGTCGCTATTTATTTCTCTGATCGACTTACCTCGACGTCAGAAGAGATCTCCTCATCAGAGGAATCCACCTCATCCACCTTTCCCTTTTTCGCCATGCTTAATTTGAGGAAAATTAACCACGATGATCCAAAAAGCCGTACTTTGCAATCGAGAACCGCGTGGATTTGTTATTGTTTTTCCCCCACCACTCTGCGGCCATCGATGGATGGAGCAGTGGCGTATTCAGGAGCGTAGCCAATGAGCGTTGGGGGATTAAAAGGGCTAAATTTAAGGCGCCAGTATGCACATTCGGTAATTTGCTGTTGGAAGTTGGAAGTAATAAATAAAGGCATTAAAATAAATAAATTTATTATACATTAACACTCGAGGAGATGATCATGGAAATGAAGAGATCGTTTTTTTTTTTTTTTTTCAAAAACAAAACGGCTCTGTTTCAATCTGTCTGCAACCCTATTTCATGAGCAAGAAAATGTAAAAAAAAATCACCAAATTGGAAAACCAAATTTTTAACAACAACAACAAAATCAAACAAAATTCAAGTACCAACCAATTTCATGAGCAAAATAGATTGGTTGGTTTTTTTTTAAAATTTATTTTTGATAAAATGTTGTTTTTAAATTTGCTGATTTTTTTGGTATTTTTCTTGCTCATGAAATAGGGTGGAAGACCATGACCGAAACTGGTAAAGCCATTTGTTTTCGAATAAAAACCATTTTTGCAACGAGGAATAAGCCAGAGTGTTCTTCAATTCCATTTAAGACTTTTGTCATTACTTTTAAAGAGACTAAAATTAATAATATTTTTAAACGTTTTTATTTAACAATTGATTATATTTTTTATGTTTATATGACATGTTTGAGATCAAGGCTTCACTTTTCCTTTCTTCTTATTTTCTTCTTCACATACTGGCGGCAATGAAAACTGACAAGAACATGTTAGTATGTCACGACTATTTTCTCACAGTGCATATAAGTGCATTACATCAATTTATTTGTTAAGTAAAAATGTAGGCAAAATTCACGGCCAGCCAAATCAAAGAATTACATTGAATGCTCATGTTATTATTAAATCTTTAATTCAATAGTTTCAATACTTTTTTACAACCTTATATGGGCTTTTGCACCGTCCGTGAGGGATAATTATTGTGTGACGCGCGCGAATCGACCCCGCGATTTCACATCCCTCTGCATGCGTAACAAGCTCAAAACATAACACCTTCTCTCTCCAACACCCCCCGACACTTTTTTCACCTTTCGATATAGCGTGCATTTACATTCGAGTGGGCGAATATAATATATATAATTGCACAGGGCCATGTGCGCCGACGCCGCGCAAAGCAGACAGAACACGCAGCAGCAGCGGAAAATAAAAAGAATAAAAATACACGACTGTGTCGGCTGCAGCGGCGGAGCAGCGCAAAGTGTCGCAGTCGACCAGCCAAACTCGAGCAGCATCCACGTCGGGCAAAATGAGACAAATTTCGCGGCGACTCGATTATAATTAGCAATTCGGGGACGCATTTTATTTCGTTTGCAGCATGGAAGTGAGTGTCGTCGAGCCGACCACCTACCCAAGTCCGATCGTCTCGCAGGAGAGACGAAATTCCTCGTCGTCCACGCACCGATCTCGGAACAACTCGTGGTCCCGCAGGAGACCCAGTCTGCTCGGCTGGAGAATCCCGGTCGCGCAAATCCGCGAGTACGGACCGGTGAGCAGGATTATATTATTATTATTTTGCAAAAATGCATCCATGTATTATAATTATTTCGCGCAAAACAAAGAGTTAAGCACTTGCGGGGCGTCCCGCAGTCTGTCCGCAGGTTATATAAAAACCTTATATACGCGCGACCGGCGGATGTTCCATAACACTTTCCGAAAGGGCAGGCAGCGCTCGAGCTTTTGTCTTTCGTCATCCCTTCTCGGCAAGAGCCGCAATTTTTTCACCTCCATACAAAATTCCCTTCTGCTGCAATTGTTGGGCGTTTATTGAGCGGTATAAAATCTCTCGTGCATAGTTTAGTATTGATTTTTGGCCAAAGTCCGTCTGCATAGTTTTTTGTTTAAACTTGACATAGTATTGCTGAATGCTTAGTTCGTGATGAGCATATGCTTGTGGTTTTATTTTAATTTATGCGCTTTGAACATACTAGGCTAATTATAAACAGCTCATATCGTGTGTGTTTGCATTGCGGCCCCGACTTTGCTCTGCTCCGTGTGCACGATACGCGCTAGTCCCTTAATAAGCGTTCGTCGCCGAGCTCTGTTGTGCTCCGAGACTCGCGGAATGGGGAAATAATTGAGTTAGCGAAATAAGTTAATTACCGTGCGTCGCTGGAGGTTTTATAGGTAATTAGAACGTGAATTTATCCGGATTTTCGCCACCTATTCTCATTTCGAATCTAACAAGACCTTGAAAATTTATTGTTACAAAAAAACTTTAATTAATAATTTAAATTACCTATTTTCTTGTTGTGTTTATTTAATGCTCGGATTAAATTTTTTTGTTCTAATCTAAATTAAACCAACGATAAAATTTTTTGTTTTTTTTCAGTTTTAGTTACATATATTTAACTTATATCATTAAATAAACCGTTAATACTTTATAAATAAAATTAATTATTATTAAAAATTCCAAAATCCACTGAATATAAGTAAATTGATCTTTCAAGGAAGAATTTTTAACAGAACAATATTAAAAAAGAATTAATTGAAGGGAATAATTTACCCAAAACTACGGCAAAATATTGACAATGCTTCTTTTTATTGTGTTATTGTTGATCCTATTAATCTAGAGAGCGTGTTCTAGTCTAGTGATCCTATTATGTTTGGTGTCGAAGTGTTAACAATAATTTATAGATATTGCAGATTATTGTTGCAAATATTTCGTATATCGGTTTCTATGCAAAGACTATAAAAGTTTCAAATATAAAAACGGCAGTATTGTTTATCACACGCCATAAAATATTTAGAGCATTACATGGAAAAATACACGTATGTTCTCTGTATGTGACCGCACAAAAATTCACAAAAAACGTAAAAGCATTTTATCTTCACAGACGATTATGTTTTATGACTTTCTCTTTTTGTTATCTATATATTTTCTTCAGGGAAAACGAGCTGCATTTTTACGAGTCCTCCGTAAATGTGTCCTACATTCAAATTTTTAAGTCGGCTGGATTTTTCTGGTTATAATTCTTGCTTTCTGGTGGATCAGATTTTCAAAAGCTTAACCTCTGTAAATAATTATTCTTTCTTATCAGTCAAATAAGTTGGTACAAAAGTCAAAATGTGTTTCATTCTGATTTATTTTAGTGGATTTTTATTGGGTATTAATCGAATTCTTTTTTCTTATTTTAGACAATATAAATATTCAAATTATTTTATTATGATTTTATCAAATGTAATCAATTTAATTGAAATGAAAGGAACTAAAGAGAATAGGTTTCTTGATCTCATAAAACATTATAATTAAATTTATTTTAAATGAAACACACAACTTATGTTAAAATGGGTTAAAATCATTTCTTGGCTAAATTTACAAATATATTTTTTAAATATTTAATTCCCCCCTTCTTTTTACATATTTAAACAAAATATTAGTTTGAGCACAAGGAAGGTCATTTTGATGCAGATGGAAAAATTTTATAATTTGCTTTCACAGAGAGAAAATAAAAGCGTTATGCATGTTATATAAAACGTGCACATGAAACATCTGCTGATAACGGGGTGTCTTGTTATAATATATGACTTGGAAACAGAAGCTCATGGTGGAGTAACAATAAGATGTCGTTAATTTTCTCTCTCCTACGCGCAACACACGCCCAAATATAGAAGTGCGCCGAGTCTAATAAGTAATACACAATGTACTTCTTACGCCGCGCACCGCAATAAGAATTGTTCGTAAAAGAGTCCTTGGTGACGACAAAATCGCACCACAGTAATCCTGCTACGTCATACCCCTGTCAGTGTGCCAAAAGCAGAGCGGGCGCTAATTGAATCAAGAAAAGTCTCGCGCATTGTTAGAGGTCAAAATGCAAATTTTAAATCAACAAAGTAGCAACAAAATCATATAAGGCGAAACTTTTTTTAAATTTTCCAAATTTAATTAATTTTTAAATATAAATTATTAGTATTCTTTAATTATTTATTTAATTTTGAATTAAATTATTTTTGTATAGTAATTATCATCATTATTTAATTTTTATTATTATTATTAATTTTTGAACACTATTTGTGTGAGAAAAAGGAATTGTTGGACAAACCGGCATTATTTTTTTTATATGCCAATATTTTCAACAATTTGTTTTATGTTCTATGTAAATTTTTTGTAGGCGAATAAACAACATATTAATATGGATCAAGAGAGAAGGAGAAAATGATAGAGCAGTATAAAAAATATTGCATTGAAAATTTAGCATTGTCATAGGATTTCAAGTCAGCAAAAAGCTATTTCACGGCCTTCGTTCTTTCAAACAATGACATTGTTTATTTTGTTACCCTTTTTTTGCTATGCATACAACGTTTTACACACAAAAAATTAAAAATAAAAAAAGTTGCAAAAAATTTTGAGGGTCAAAAATAAATAATGCGAAATTATTTATCACATAATTTCATTTCTATTTTTTTTTTATATAGCGTTATAAAGGAGCTTTTAAATTTTAAATTTGATTTATTAACCGATTGATAGAAATACTAATAATAATTTGATGAAAATTGGTGTACAACTTCTCCTACCTATTGGTACCCCAGGACGGCCATTAATTTTTGCCCAATTTTCCTTGTTTAATTTTTGCCACTTAAACTCCATGTAGACCATGTATAATTTGTATAATTTGAATTACATTGGAGAAATCAGATGTAGGCAAATTATATACACAGAGGACGCTTTTGTTGCCTACATTTGATCGATTTTAACATGCGTTTTAATGGAAACTACCCTCCCTTGTGAAATTGGGCAACTTTTGATAGCCATTCCAGAACACCCAAGGGTAGTGCAAGTTGCATACCAACTTTCAACAAAATCGGCGTAAGTTTCGAACATATGGCATTTTTCGCGCCAAAAATCTCCCTTAATTTCAAGATTCTGGACAAAGAAACTTTTCGGGACGATTTTCTTTTCTACCACTGCAAAAAAACCTTAGAAAATCAATGAGGTCGGGCGTATATTTTCAGGGCGACACGAAAGGGTGGCCGGGCAGTGCGTGCGTCGGGGTTCGATCGGGCAACCACGCACGAGAGTGGCACTCTCGAGTGGTGTGTGTGGCGGAGGTGGGAGTGGCATACGTCAGAATGCGAATGAATTGAGAAATTCGCCTGAAGAGAGCTGCTGCTGCCGTCGCTGCGTTGATAATGGTCTCGGAGTAAGAAGTGGTGATAAAAACGCCCAATTGCGGACGGATTAATGCGAAATCGCGGCTGCCGTCGGCAAAATGGCTCTTAGTCGGCGCGAGTACGGATTCAAGCCGAGAACGGTGAGCGACACGGCCTTTATATTTTGCCATTTCTTGCTCTACTCGTAATGTTTACGGCCGAACGAAAGAATTGTATCCCTTGAGGTGTGGAGAATTCAAGGCCTCGTCCTAGAACTTTTGCAATCGGCAGATAACGCGATTAGGCCGAACGTCTTTTCGGGAACGGGACTTTTCGGCTCGCTGGCCGATTGACGGACAGGACAGGTGACAAGGACAGGGGCGCTTCCAATTCACCTGCCTGCACTTGACACGCTTTTTTTAAACCTTGTTAAACACATACATAGACGGTGAATAACTCGTTTCGCATTTGCGTCAGACCGACTCGACGGTCAATGGCGATGGCCAATTATTCTTTTTTATTAATCTTTCTTGAATATAATTTAATATCGAGTTGATTTATTTAAGATTTTCGTAGCCAGGTCGTAAATCAATTTTTATGTTCTTGTTGTATAATCAAATTATCAGGGACTCTTGCGTAATGATTCAGCTGATTCACTTCATTTTCAAAATTCGACTTGATTTAATTCAGTTGATTGTGTTTTAACCTAAATCACGAATGCCGTTCCTTTTAAGGTGGCTAATAATTGGAAGTTGCGAATTTTGACCTTCGCTTCATTTGTATGCATTAATTCAGCAAAACTGACTGACTGAGGAGTGATGTCAGCAGCCAGAAATACGCACACACAAAATATCTTGCTTTTATTTTGTTTTCAATTGCGGTTTCTCTTGCAACGAGGAAAAAGAAAATCAAGATAATAATGGTGGAGAAGGAAAAAAACAAAGAAATTATCTTTTCACCAACGATTTTCCACTTACGTCAATTCAGTCTGTTCATTTAAACTCATTTCAAAATTGTCATGTAAAGAAATAAAATATTTGATAAAAATTGTCCTTAAATTTTTCTGTTGATTTCCAGAATTTCTTTAATTTTACTTTACATTTTAAATGCAATTTTTCTTCTTTCTATAAATTAAAAGATCATATAATTATTAATTTTCCCTTTTTTGGCTACGTCAAGATTAGTAGGAAAAAGTTGCATCGTTGCAACTTTGAAACTGTCAGTGGAAGGTCAAGTTAACAGCGATAAACACTATTTCTGTTTTGCTAGCGCTAAATTTAATAATCCAAGAGTTTTTTACGTCCCCCTCTTTCTCAGTGCCAGTTGCATTCTGAAGTAAATAATAAAAAAAAATGCAGTTGGTATGATTCACCCTCGAGCCAGTGCGCAAAACTGGTCAGAAAACGGTGCAAATCTAAACAATTTTTTAAACCTTGTATTCGTTTAAACTTCCTCAATTTCCCCCAATTTTGTGCGACCGTTTTCTGTATTGATTTAATTACTTATGAAATTTTCAATTTTGTTTCTCAGGCGGATGAATTCACACAAAGACTGCGGCTGCGTGTCGTGGCAGGTCACAATCTTGCCAAGAAGGATATTTTTGGAGCCAGGTGAGAGATAAAAATTGATTAAATTCAGAGACCAAAACCATCTTTTGTTTTAGTGACCCATATGTCAGAATAGATCTCAACACACTCGAGGGCGATGAGACCATCGACTCTGTCATGACCAGAACGAAAAAGAGGGTAAGCGACCTGAAAACTACTTTCTGGTGTTAAATCTTAAATCATTGTGCTGAAATCTTGTTTGTTTTGCGCAGACTCTTGAGCCACAGTGGAACGAGGAGTTTGTTTTCAGAGTGAAGCCTTCGGAACATAAATTAGTGCTGCAGGTTTTCGACGAGAACCGACTGACCAGAGACGACTTTCTCGGCGTAGTCGAACTTCCTTTGCAAAACTTGCCCAAAGAGCAAGAGGGCCGCATTATTTTGTCCAAGCAATACATTCTAAGACCCAGAAGGTTGTAAAAAAAGTTAAAGTTAATTTGTAAAATTTTAATGATTCAATTACAATTTCAGTGCCAAGTCTAGAGTAAAAGGTTTCCTAGAAATTTACCACGCCTACATTCGAGAGGCCAGCGCAGGGAGCACAGACGAGGAGGAACCTTCTGCAGCCGAGGGAGAGACCGGCTGGGAAATGGTGGACTCGATAGCGTCAGCCAACACAACGGGGTCCGTTGAGACTCCTGCACAGGTACTTGGGACAAAAATTAACAAAAAAGAACATAATGTGATAAAATAATTTCAGCCGGTGAATGTTCCGAACCAGGAGCAGTTGCTGCCGCTTCCTGCTGGTTGGGAAGAGAGACAAGACGCCAACGGCAGGACCTATTTTGTTAATCACAACGCCAGATCGACCCAATGGGAGCGCCCCACACAGTAATAACTTAACAATTTTGTGTAATTGAAAAAAAAACTTATATTTGCTACTAATAGGGAGGGCAACATAGCAGGCGAAGTGAATGTGACGCAGCATGAGAGAAGTTTAGAGTCGGCAGCGACGGAGTTCCAGCGCAGATTTCACATCAGTAGAGACGACCTCGAATCAAATAGAAGTTCAGGGTCTTTATCTCAGGTATGGTTTGATTTCAACTTTTATGCATGTTTCTTTTGAGAAATTTTAAACACTGGACTGCTTTGGTTGCACTTTCTTTTGAACTAATGTGCATGACTTGCACTTTATTTTTCGCATGCTGCATATTCTTTGTGAATCTTAAGGAGGATGATCGATCTGACGGTGAAATCAGTGATGACGGAGTGGACGGCGATGAAAGTGAATGTGGCGAGCAATCGCCAGAGGTAGAGGACGAGGACTTGATCATCGAAGATTATGATCCTCCCGCGTCTCCAGGCCCGGAGCCAATCGAGCAAGGCGTCGAAGTGGTTGCCGAGTCAGACTCGCAATCAGACATTGCAAGTGCTTCAGGCGACAGACGTGAATCTCTGAATGATTTCGGACTGGCCAGGTTGATGCAGACTGACGGAGAAAGTGAAGCTGAGGTGACGGGCCTGTGCATGCTGCAATTTAAAAATCCGCTCGTGCTTGCTTTTTGCCTTGAATTGCATTGTTCATTTGCATTGCTTATTTGTTTTGATTTTTCGTTTGTATCTTCAGGGCGATACAACTGATGCTGGAAACAATGAAGCCCGTCCGAGAAGCGACTCTGAAGCAGTAAGTTTCTCTGATTATTTTATTGAAATTCATGAAAAGTTAACAATTTGATATATTAAAATTAATAAAAAATATATAATTTTTTTTTAGGTCCAGGTTCCAACTGAGGCAAGATTACAAGCCTTGGGCCTCACTTCGGAAGGGATGCCTCCTGGCTGGACAATGCAAATGGCTCCCAACGGCCGCGTTTTCTTCATCGACCACAACGAGAGAGCAACAACCTGGGTGGACCCTCGAAGTGGCCGGGCCAGTCCGATGCCAAACCAAGTGAACAACCCTGCCATCAAAAAGCCTGAGGACGAACTGGGTCCCTTGCCTGAAGGTTGGGAGGAGCGGATTCACACAGACGGACGCATTTTCTTCATTGATCACAGTAAGCACATAATTACTTTCTCCATGACCTGCGTCAGAAATAATATTCTGTGCAATTTACTGTTGCGTAACTATCGTGTCGTGTGGTAATTTTATACATTAATTCCCTTAGACACAAGGACGACGCAGTGGGAAGACCCAAGACTGTCGAACCCTAATATAGCCGGGCCTGCCATTCCTTACTCAAGAGACTACAAGAAAAAATACGACTACTTCAAATCACAGTTGAAAAAGCCTGTAAGTTCAGTTAAGCTTTTTTTTAAATAATTTTTTACTATGGTTGGTAATTAAATTTTCAGAACAATGTACCTAACAAATATGAAATCAAAGTACGCCGATCACGCATCCTAGAAGATTCATTCAACGCCATCAGTAATGTCAACAGAACTGATTTGCTCAAGACAAAGTTGTGGATAGAGTTTGAGGGAGAGGTTGGCTTAGACTACGGAGGTTTAGCACGTGAGTGGTTCTTCTTGCTTTCGAAAGAGATGTTCAACCCCTACTATGGACTTTTCGAATATTCTGCCATGTAAGTGATTTCCTAAAAGAGAAGCAATTCAAATATTAAAAATTTTTAATTTCAGGGATAATTACACTCTCCAAATCAACCCATTCTCTGGCCTTTGCAACGAAGAGCATTTGAACTACTTTAGGTTTATTGGTAGAATAGCTGGAATGGCTGTTTATCACGGGAAACTGTTAGATGGTACTTTTGTGCAAAGATAACCAAAAAATCAGACCGTTTAATTGATTTCTCTTATCAGCCTTCTTCATTCGTCCATTCTACAAAATGATGCTGGGAAAGCAAATTGACTTGAAAGACATGGAGAGTGTGGACTCTGAGTATTACAATTCGTTGCTGTGGATCAAGGAAAACGACCCATCGGAACTGGAACTCACGTTCTGTGTCGACGAAGACAGTTTTGGTCACACGTCGCAACGAGAGTTGAAACCAAACGGAGCAAACATTGCTCTCACAAATGAAAACAAAGACGAATACATTAAGTAAGGCGACCTATTCTCCAACCTGAATGAATTACTAATTAATTTATTCTTCCAGCCTTGTCATTGAATGGAGATTTGTAGCCCGAGTAAAAGAACAAATGCAAGCCTTTCTGGAAGGGTTCAGTGCCTTGGTGCCGCTGAACTTGATCAAAATTTTTGACGAGAATGAACTGGAGCTGCTCATGTGCGGCATTCAGCACATTGATGTCAAGGACTGGAGGCTGAACACCCACTACAAGGGTGACTACCATCCTAATCACTTGGTTGTGCAGTGGTTCTGGAGGGTGAGTAGTAATAAAATAAATTAATAAGAAACCTTTAGTTCAAGTTGGGAAAGGGAAATAAACTAATTAATTATTTCCGCAGGTTGTGTTGTCTTTCAACAATGAGATGAGAGCTCGCCTTCTGCAGTTTGTGACAGGAACATCAAGGGTGCCAATGAATGGCTTCAAAGAGCTTTACGGAAGCAATGGACCTCAACTTTTTACCATTGAGAAGTGGGGCTCTCCGGAAAATTATCCCCGAGCTCACACCTGGTAATAATTTAAATTTTAAATCATTTAAATGGTTTATTTAAAATTAATTTTTTTTAGTTTCAACCGAATTGACCTGCCTCCATACGAGTCATACCTGCAGCTACGAGATAAGCTTGTCAAAGCAATCGAAGGTTCACAAGGTTTTGCCGGAGTCGACTAGAGATCGAGGCCACAATCTTTCACCTTGCCGTGATGCTTGCCCACTTTAACTGTTTCGATTGATTTCAAACGTTTCGGTGTTAAATTGAAAACAGCCTTGTAAGACAAAAAAAGAGTTTTGTTTGCAAGTCGGGACAATTTTCAATATCAAACTATATTAAAAACCAAGACAGACCTAGAGGCTAACAAAACTCGGTGGTGATATCAAGAGATTTTTCATATTTGATGAGAACATAGTAATATTTGTGTTGATTGGGCAATGCTACAACAACTGTGATTATTTGATTTACCTGTTTTTATGGATATACTGTAATGTTAAAATTATATTGTGTAAAGAATCCTTCCACAATCCTCATTAAAAGAAGACATCAGATGTCCTGTCAGTTATAGACCTCCCCACAGACCATCCAGCAAATCCCCCAACACAATCTTATACCTAAAGTTTCTTACATTACGCTAAGGCTGGTATATTGATGGTATTGTTTACTGAAAAAGTCTTATGCTGTGACTTGTTAACAAAGCCAGTGTCCAAATTTATGCAGTCAGAATCATTCTATATATAGAAAGTGCAAAACATTTACTCGCCGCTATTTTAACTTTTAACACTTCAAAATTTTCTGTCAAGAAAAAAACTTGCATCTTTAACTTTTGGATACTTATAATCGTCGCTTATTCTTGTCATCACTATATTTCTTTTACCTAAGTTGCTGATGCATGATCGTCTTGTATTTCAAATTTTTTGCGTGTGAATTCTTTTGTAACATTTTTAAATAATATTGAGAATTTCCCCTATTTAAAAAAAAAAAAAAATGACCAAAATCATAATTAACCCATAAAATATTTTACAACAAGATTGGAACTTTTCAAGCATTCCCTATTGGATTTGAATTTCACTTTTAAGCAGCGCGGAGAGACCACGAGTATTAAAATCATGCGTATTTCCGTGCTGAATTTTGCCGAAATTTACTTTGGATTTTAATTTATAGTTTTTTTTAACTTCTTATTTTTCAAAAGAACAATTTAGTCTTTTTCATGCAAACACATGAATTTTAAACATTGTTTGTATCGCTCGCAAACATAATTATCAAGACGAGATCACTGCTTTACGCACGAATTTGTGCTTGCTATGTAAATATAAATGATTTATAATACCTCGTTATGATATCAACTAAAAACAATAAAGAAAACGAAAAATTAACATTTCGTCTGATTCCAATAAAAACCTTAAACCGATTCTGAATTCCGTTTTGTTATTTTAGTCAGAACAAAAAATAGATTTCCATTCCGCTCTAATGCAGTAAAATCAGTTTTTGTTTACATCTCGTGGTGCTAGCACATGTGTGCGATTCCTTCTGAATTTCTCAACGCCACTTGGACCAAAATAGCCCGTATTAAGAAGCGCGGGGCTCCTCAGAGCAGCGCGGCGCCTTCGGAGCAAAACGCGGAGCAGCACCTAATTTTTGCAGTGTGTCGGTGGCCTTGGCGTGGAAGGCCCATTATTTACACTAAATTGAGCGTTAGTCTGCACTTCTGACCATTCGTCATGGGCACGCAAGTCGGCATCTTCAGCACGATCGACTACGCGCTTTTTGTTGTGTTGATGCTCGCCTCGTCGCTGATCGGCGTTTACTTTGGATTTTTCGCCAAGAAGAAGCAAAATAGCCGCGATGAGTACCTCGTCGGCAGTAAGAACATGTCATTTTTCCCTATCCTCATGTCACTCATTGCCAGGTACATTTTTTTATTATTCATAATCAAACCATTCATTAAAAAAATTAATTAAAAAAAAATCATTATTTTTATTTTTTGACGAAAACCGGTGAATTTAGGCAACCTGCTAGGCATCCGTGTCGCGCAGGTTGCATCATTTTTTTATTACGCCAACGAAAGCAGGAACTTTTAATTTGATTTTTTTTTTAGCGCAACATCTGGTGTCACTTTATTGGGAGTGCCGACGGAAATCTACACCTACGGCACCCAATACGTGATGCACGTTTTCACGGAAGTTTTAGTTTGCGTGGTGACCGCTTGGCTATTTGTGCCCGTCTACTACAAACTTCAAGTGGCAACCACGTACGAAGTATATAATTCGGAAAATCGTGTTTTTTGATGTAAATTTAAAAAAATTAATTTAATAATTTCAGTACTTGGAGCTGAGGTACGGAAAGTCCGTCAAGTACGTTTTGTCGGGAATGTATTGCATCTTTACTGTAAGTTGGAATATATCATAGTTTTTTTTTAAGAATTTTAATTTGATTTTTAAATTATGTAGAATTTATACACTCCAATGGTGGTCTACGCACCCGCACTTGCACTGAGCCAAGGTAAAAATAAAATATTTAATACTAGCTATAAAAATTATGTTTTCAAATAATTTCAGTCACTGGAATAAACATTTACGTGATCTCCACACTCACAACGTGCATTTGCGTTTTTTACACTTGCGTTGTAAGTTTGATTATAAATTCTTAAAATATCAATATTTATTTCTCATATAGGGTGGATTTCGGGCGGTTGTTTGGACGGACACTTTGCAAACATTTGCGATGATAATTGGGGTTGGAGTCGTGGTTGTCTTGGGCACCATCGAGGTTGGCGGAGTGGGGGAGGTTTTCCGAAGGGCAGACGAAAGCGGCCGACTCGTCTTTTTCAAGTAAAATAAAATTTCCCGATTAACTCGATTTTATCTGAATAAAAATTTTCAGCATGGATCCAAGTCCTTTCGCTTACTACACATTTTGGAATGTGATCGCTGGCGGATTCTTTGGGTGGTTGGCGGGGATGGCGAGCAACCAGGCGGCTCTGCAGCGCTGCTTGGCCTTGCCGACTTTGGAAAAAGCTCAACGGTTTTAAAAATTACTCTAATAACTTCCAATTAAAAACGTGTGAATTTATTTCAGAGCAACAATTATCACTTCTTTTGGTTCGGCACTCTTTGTGCTCTTCAGTGTTTACACGGGAATTACTCTATACGCAAGATATCAAGATTGTGACCCGTTAGTGTCGGAGGTATTCAAAAATATATAAATGCAAAACTCAAATTAATTTTTACTCCATAGCAAATTTCAAAAATGGACCAAATCCTGCCACTGTTCATCGCCGACATTGGCGGTTCGATTCCTGGGATTGCGGGCATCTTTGTGGCTGGAATTTTCAGCGCTGCTTTGAGGTTCAAAACAATTCATTCAGCCGGTAAATAAATATTAAAAGATCTTTATATAAAATTTCAGTTCACTCTCAACAACGTTAAATTCGGTTTCTGGAGTTTTTCTTAACGACGTGATTAATCCTATGCTTAAGGAGCCTTTGAGTGAGAAGCACGCGAGCTGGGTTTTGAAAGGATTGGTCTTGGTGTTTGGACTTTTGGCAATGGGTCTCGTATTTATTCTTCCCTACCTTGGAACGATATTCCAGGCAAAATAGAAAGTTTGCTGCAAAAATAAATAATCATTTTCTACTCCAATTTTTTAAAGGTTACGAGAATTTTAGGTGGAGTGACCGTTGGCGCGCGACTTGGAATATTTTTGTTCGGAGTTCTTATTCCTTGGTTCAATGAGAAGGTTAGTTTTGCGTTCTAAATTGCAAATTTTTTGTAAATGTTATAATTAAATTAGGCTGTGATAACCGGTGGAATTACAAGTGCCTTGCTGATGTCAGGCATCATCATCGGCAACGGCCGCGCCATCGCGTCCAAGGACTTGGTTTGGCCCAAAATGCCAATTTCCGTCGAGGGCTGCGACTCGACGCTCGTCTCGCATCTCAACACGAGTTACATTTACGAGTCGGCGTACTTGGACGGGGTCAACAACGACGTTTTCTGGCTCTTCCGCATCGCCTACAGAAACAACGTGATGATCAGTTTTCTCATCATGACGGTCGCCACGTGCGTGGCGTCGTGCTTTTTCGGGACGAACGACCCCAGGGACATGGACCACGACCTTTTCAGTCCGTGCATCAGACGGTTTTTGCCGGCGTCCAGGCTGACGAAGCAGGACAAGCAGGTGACTTCAAGTGAGGGGGAAGAACTTGAAGAACAGGTAACGAATGAAACTAATTCTAAGATTCTATTTCGAAGACCAGACGTACACAATTTTTTTCCTGGATTAGAAGACGGCTCGAAACAGACACAAATTTACCACCTCCAATCAAGAATATAAAATAAATCAAAATCTTATATACAAATTTGTTTAAAATGATGTCATTAATTAATTAGTACTATTGCGATCGTGATAAAAACTCCGCCCAAATTTAAATTCCAGACGGATAATCCTAGTTCTTCTAAAAATGACCTGCCAACCAGAAGAATATTTACCGAATCCGCGGTGTAATATTGAGGAACAAAAGTTTGATCAAAATCATAATATATTTATTTGTGCTCTTAATAAATGAAGTAAATATAAGATTATTATATAAGAAGCCTTGCATTATATTAATTAACCTAAACGTGCATGAAGTTAATATTAGTCAGACTCATAGTGTAACTTATTGATTGTAAATAATGATAAGCATAATATTTATATAAAAGTTTAAAACTCGGCGGCATCTTTTCCGGCGATTCCCGGGAACAGAACGCGCATGGCCTCGTAAGAAGCCCTGGAGTCGTTGATGGTCTTCAGGAGGGTGCTGGTGACCATGGTCATTTGACCATTGATCTGTTCACCCAAAAGCTTGACGTTGGCTGAGATGGGAGCGACGGCGTCAGAACCCACAAGCCTTTTTAGGTCCTTTTCGATGAGTTTCCACTGCAAATTATTTTATTATATTTTTTGTCTCCGAATAAAAATAAGTGCGCTTTCTTGCCTCGTTTTTCATGTAAATGGCAGCATTGTAAAGGTCTCTCTTCTGCTTGTTGAAAGCCTTGAAAATGGCCATCATGTCGTCAGACACGTCCTCGCGATTATTGCCCAGGTCGCCCAGTTGGTAAGAAATCAGACGGAGGATTTCGGCAATGTCGGAAATCTTTTTTTTTAAGAAATTATTTCCCGTAATGAAATGGAAAGAAATATAATCCAACCTGGAGAGAAAATTGCTTTTCCAATTCCTCAGCGAGTTTCTTAACCGCAACCTTCACAGCAATGAGCTCTTGCTTGTGGGACTAAAGGACATTTTAAATTTAAAAAAAAAAAACTTTGACCTCTTTTTACTTGAAAAAATTATCAGTAATAGACAGAAACAATAAATACTTCACGCTAATCACAACCTCAATATCAAGTAATGTGATTTGCTTCTTATCTGAATTTTTGTATTTGAGAATTTTAGTGACAATTTACCTTCAAATCGTTCACTTGAGTCCTAATTTCGGTGATAAGATCGCCACCGTCTCCATTCATGAACTCAATCGTATCAGCAACGTACGTGCGCAGATTCACCACAGACAAACCCTCCGACCTTTGAACCATGATTAATGAATAAATTATTATAATTAATAAGAAAAATCACCTCATGGCGAGAAGGAAATCCCAGGTTTCAGGGACAACGTTGTGCTGGACGGCAAGTTGCTCAATGTCAGGGGCCATGTCGCGAAGAGCCAGGAAATCCTCAGCCATTTGCTTCCTTCCGTAGAAATAGCAACTGAAGGCCATTTCTTCGAAGAACTATAAAAATTCATAATTTTTGGAATTTTCTTCAATTCTTAAATTTTTAATTTACATCAGCAAGGCATCGGGCCAAGTCGTCGGTGGGCTTTGAGGGCATTCGAGCCAGGCCAGGAGGCAAATCAATGAGACCGCTTTCCAGGGCCATGTTCAGCATGGTGAAGCCTGGCATGTTGAGGTCGCCCTCGGGTTCTAACGGGGCCTGGATGGGGCTGGCAAGCGCCTAGAAATACATATTTTTTACCAAAAGAAATTTCAGCAACAAATATAAAATGATTAATTTCGATTGAGATAAAAGAACACTGCTTTTTTTATCTTACAAAGGAATTAATTAATTCATTTGATCATGTCAGAGTTGTTCGAGGCGGTTTTCTTTGTATATTTAAATGTTAAACACCCACGTCAAGAGGTGCTTGATAACACTTGTCGACACCTTGTAGATTGACGAGTGCGAATTTGATGTGTTTCAGTGATAAGCAGTGATTTCTCGTTGACGCGCACATTTTCACGCAAAACTCGATTTTAATTGCGAAATGGTGACGAAATTTCTAAAGTATGCACAGATTTCTTTAAAATGATATGAAATATAGAAGAAAAATTACAAAACGAAAAAAATGTCTCCAAAGAAATAAAGAACACGCTTAAAAAAAAAATGCATTAACATTAAATGAATAATTCTAGATTTTTTTGATTTTTATAATATAAAAATATTAAATATTAATTTATAAAAATCCATTTTAAATAAATCGTTATACTTTGTTCGCTTAAAATTACACAAATTGCAATTATGCAAATGTTAATTAACTTACCTGTGCAAGGCACAGAGCAACTAGAGCGACGGCCGCCTTCATTCTCTGTATTCCTGTTGGTATAGCAGTTCGCGGACACTTGGATTCTTCTTATATACGAGCGTTGCGACGTTATTTTTATCTCAAGTGGCCGTTGACGACGTTGGCGAAACTCATAACGTTCGCACCCACAATAATTATTGGAAATTACAGCGTCTCGCATGCCTCATTTGACAGCTCAAGGGTCGCTGATAAAACTTGAATTTGCGCGAATCACGTTTGCGTTGACGGATTAATTTGGCGCACACACAACCGTGATTGACAATTGACAAGCTTTGGCAAAAATTGTGACATTAGAAGAAGCAGATTAGTTCAGAAAATTAGATTATCTGCAAAACTAGCATTCCAAGTATATCCGTACCCTTGACTAAATTATAATAATTAATTAGTATTTGTAATAATATTTGTAAAAATTGAATTTTAAGTCAGGTTTTCCTCGGTGGATTTAGTGAGTTGTTTATTGTATAAGAAAAACAATTCCTGCTGTTTTTCTTAAACAATAAAAAACTCACAAAACCCATCAAGAGAAAGCTTACTTTAAATTCAAATCACCATGAATCAACCCTCGATCGTGAAATTCTACTACAAAATATTATACTAACTTTAATTTTTATGAGATAATTACATTTTTAAATTTAATAAATCAATTTAACACGCCGCAAATGTTTCATAAAATGTTTTCATCCAAACTTTTATCAATCATTTATTATTTTGAGTAAAAATTATGTTTAGAATAATTATACAATTAATTAGTTATAAAGCGAAAAAAGGGATTAACCTTGTTGATTTTTATTTTTAGAATTAAAAAAAAACAATACGCTTCTTCTAGTTTATTTTACACTTCTGTGACCCCTATTAAATTTTTCAGCGCATTGGCTCATGAAATAGTGCGAATAATTGGCAATAATCTTTTTATATTATTATTACAAATGTTATAATTATTGTTTTTTTTAAGGGTGGACAAAATCGCAAAAGGAAGTCGATCACATGAGATCATTTCCGATATTTTTATGATCTTGGAAAGCAATTTTAATGATAAAACTACAAGAAAAACTGTCAATGTCTGGTTATTTAATAGAGAAATTTTCTTAAACAAAGACCTTTTATTTACAAACTAAATTTTTGTTAGGTCTCCTCAAAAAACTTGAATTGATAAAAAAAAGTTCAAAATTTTTTTTAATTGCAAAAGATTGCTTCATATTGAGTGATATTGAGATCGGATCGGATCGCACAATTTTTCAATTTCAAGATGCAGCTTTAGAAAAGATCGCAATCGCACAATTTGAGATCGCGTCTATCTCGTTTTTTTTTTTTTTTTTTTTTTAATAAAAAAGACAAAATTTTATCCCTCTATGCACAAATTTTCCTCAAGGGACAACTTTTTTAATTGATATTGTCAATTAAAGTTTATGACAAAGAAAAATCTATCAATCTCGTTTCTTATTTAGTTCAGATAAGACTTGATAATTAAAAATTCTATATAAATTTACACAATGTCCAATTAGGCTTGAAAGTGCGATAAGTGACCGACCAATGAGCAAATTTTTTAGAAAATCATCAAACGAAGCCGCCCGATCGTTCGTTGCACTTCACGAGTCTTTGGTTCCTTCGGTGAGCAAAGAGGTGAGCAGAGAGGTCATCGTTTCCTCGCCGATGGTCAGCAGCCTCGCCTTGCCCAGAATCCGCGCCAACCACGCGGCCAGGACGTGTTTGCACGTCATTTCGCTGGCGTTCGCGCCCAGCACATAGAACTGGAACGCCGGACACGGACAGTAGTTCTCCTCAGGGTACAGGGTGTACACCCCTGAAACACCAACCGGAATCAATTTCGGCTCCCCTTTTGCTTTCAAGTACCTTTGGACGTGCCCGAAACCTGCACCAGCTTTCTTCCGATCGGCGACTGCAGTTCGCAAACCGAGTTCGGCTTGTCGACGATGGCGAGCGCCCGCTCCAGGACGGCGCCGAACACCGAATTCAGCGCCAGCATCGCCTCGTCCGTTACTATTTTGAGGGAAATTGAACAGTCAACCTTAGAAAAAATTTCTATCCAAGCAAATTAAGCGAAGAAGCGCCACGAAAAACTTTTTTAATAGAAATTTATTTTGATTTTTTTTATTTGTAAGTCTTGCAAATCACCAAAAAGCACAACACCGAATAGAGAGACTTCTTATTGCAACTGACGAATGGCAACCAGGGTAAAGAAACATGACAGAAATTTTATACCAACAAAAACACACCAATCAAACCTGAATGAAAGAGTTAAATTGAATATAAATAATATGAAATAAATAAATATTATTAAAAATAAGTAAAATAATTAAATAATAAAAAAATTAAATTAAATTTAAAATAATATTAAATATTGTAACAAATAGCTTGTGAGCCTTTAAATTTAGTCTGCATAAAATTCATTCATTCATTTCCATGCATAAAAAGCAACGCAGACAAAAATTAAGGATTTTTACAGATAATTCAATGCCAAATTATTGAAGTTATTTTATTTATTTTTTTTATCATGCATGTTCTATTGCAACCTTAAAGTTTCAGGACATTTTTTTCTCGCATCAAAAAGTTATTTTTCACAATTTGTGAAATATTTTTATTTGATTGAAATTATGTAAAATCGCTGAATGTTTCATTTAAATTTATACACGCATCACGCATTGTATATAAAAAATAATAATCAAATTATCGATTATTCATAACAATTTCAATCAAATTATAGCCTTTCCAGTCAGGCTATCCATATGATGCTCCTATATTCTTGATAATTATATTATTAATATAATTTTGATAATTTTCATTGTAAAATCAATAACTTTAACACGGTACAATATTTCAATTTCATTTGAATCGATTTGAATAATTATAAAAATTGTTGTTAACACAATGCAATTTTTATAGTAATTAAAATTCCTTTCTTTAAAAATTTCGTACAATTGTAACAAAATTTTGAATTCAGTGAATTTGAAAACTAAATTTGAGGGGATAGTATAGTATGTGGCTTATTTATTTTACAAAAACAAAAATTTTTAATTAAATTAAGAAATTATCGGGTGTAAAAATTCCAGACTGATTAGAATTTATGTATGCATAATATGGTGCAGTGCTATATAAAGAATTATTAAAATTGCTTCGATGAAATAACATTGCGAGGGAAAACACCAGGCGTGCGAGAAAGTTATTAAAACGTGCGCTATAAAATTAAAAAAAAAGGTACGTAAAAAAAGTTATGATACTCACATTTCCCCTCGTCGACGACGATGGCCTCCACTTCCTTGAAAATGTCCTTCGACAGGTTGGACAGGACAGACCGCAGACTCATCTTGTTTGACCTTTGCTCCGTCACAGAAAAAAGCACAATCCACACATTCCACACGCGAAATGTCACAACGAGAGGTCTTGAAGGTAAATATTGTCCGTTACTTGCACCGAAGCATTCCACGGATGCTCGACGCTCAAAAAATGATGCACACCTGCACAGTCACGCACCTGGAGCTCGAGAATTCGCTAAATTGTTCTTGTTTACTCTTTTGCAACGCGCAAAACACGTCGGCACCGCACATTGTCACTTGAAAACTGGAATCATCAGGGAAGAGTGGGAAGACGAGCATGTGAATCACATGCTGCGGGCGCGCCTGATTTGGCGCGCATGTGCAGTACTGCAGTGTTTTCAATCAAACCGAAGGCCCCGCTAAACCAACGTGACTTGGACTTTTTACAAAATTAAATTTAAATATAATAAAGAAAATAGAAGAATGGATTTTATTTTTAAAATGACAAATTAGTACTTCAACAGAGCATGTAATGTATTTATAATTAAAAAAAAATCCATGAAATTTTCAATCACTCAATATTATTGTTATGAAATTATGCGACTTAATTTGCGTTAATTTGAAACATTTTTTTGTTTGACCAAAATTTATAAATTTATTTTGTTTTATGAAAGACAAAAGACGTAGGTTGATGATTTCAATTAAATTGCTTATCACATTTTAATGGTTGTTTTCTATTAATTTTTATTTTAATTCAAATAGAAATTATTAAAAAAAAAATATAGCTTTAAGAGTTTTCCGGAGTTTTCAATATGCCCGGAATAATTACTTAAGTTGTTGGTTGTTGTTTAATTTGAAACGTATAATTTATATCAAAAATTATGAATTTATTTTATTTTATGAAAGACAGAAACTTTTTGGCTTATTGATATGATTTAAGCAATATTTTATAACAACTTTGTGAACTTTGTAAGAGGTTGGAAAAAAATTGAGAATATTTTACAATAACAATCACACATCAATCTTTGAAATCTTACAAAACATTTCAATTTTTTTGAAAAAATTTAAAACACATTTAAATCTATCTTTGTAAAATGTGTTTAAATATCAGGGAAAGCACTGCCTATGTACTTATTTCCCCTAAATGTGAAAGAATGAGTCTTGATAAAGAAGGGCTCTCCTCCGAGGCGGACGGGACACTTGTTGTCCGGTCTTGTCATGAAGCACACCGTGTAAAGGGCCATCTCCAGTTCGGGGCTCGTGCCGATGAACATCGACCCCACAGGCTTTGTAATATTTCCCCACGTGAAGTGATGCTTAACCACAGAACCACGCTAAAATAATTCATTAAAATTTATACAAAAAAAGGTAAATTTTTAATTAACTCCTCCAAGGTCGATGTGTCTGATGTGTCCAAGGTAGTTTGCCTTCCCTGTGCTCTCTTCGTGTGCAAAATACAGCCAATTGTGGAAGCCTGAGATTTCACCCTTCCGCACTTCCGAGAGGAAAATGTGCTCAAAAGCGCTGGAGCCAATGGGAGAGCCGCTGCCCAGTCTCGGGAACATTGTGAACCACAACTGCTGCAATTTGGTTTTCAGCGACCCAGGAGCGTTCTCGATCAAACCTGCTCTTCATCCATACAAGTGTTTTAATTGTTAAAATTAATTAAAATTGAAGTGACCTTTGTCGACTAGAAATTTCTTGGTCTTGGCCATGACCTGGGTGGCCATCACAGCATCCAAAAAGGCTCTGTCCTCGTCCCTCTCATAGGCAGTCACAACTTCAGCATTGCCAGCGTCAGGTTCGTAATTATCGTACAAAAGCTTCAATTTTGATGTGGTGGCGCCCTGAAGAGCTCTTGCTTGAACCGCCAACAACCTGTGATGATAGGTAATTCAATTAATAAATTTAATTGAAAAATTTATAAAAATAAAAAAAACATGATTTAAAGTAAATTAATTTCACCTTTTAACATGATAAATATTAGGGAGAAAGGATTTTTTCGAGAAATTACAGTTTTTTTGGTCAACTATAATAATTGATAAAATTCAATTGAATTAAATTAAATTATTAATTAATGTTTGAAACATTTATAAAAAGATAAAATGATTTTTACATGAATTAATGAAACCTTTGCCTAAAAATATTTCCAAGGAATAAAAAAATTTATATTTTTGGAAAAAAATTCTTACGGTTGAGGAGCCAAGTCGGCCGTGTTTGACCCGTAAGTCCTGCCCTGCCAGTTGGCCCTGACCAACGCGGCAGCATTGTTGGAGTCACTCCTGAGCAACTCCTCGCTGAAGGTCCTCAATTCGTCGTCAGCCACATTGGAGGAAGTAGGGGAGGTGCCCCTGTTCTGCGTGTTTCCTCCCCTCGAAGGGCTGCTGCTGCTGATCCTGGGCCGAAGAGTGCTTGAAGGGTCGTTTTGGTTTCGAGAAGCCTGAGCGTACGACCTTTGGGTTGTTTGCTCCGCAGGACTGCTCGGAGTCGCACCGCGGGCTGCTTGGGCGTAGGAAAATTGGGTAGGACTGGGTTGTGACAGAACGGACGCGTTCGCTGCATTATTATTGCCGGCCGGTTGTTTTGGTAGAGCCGCTTGTGCGTACGAACGTGGTGGACTTTGGGTCTGCGTGGCTTCTTGACCTATAGAAATAATAGTTTCGCCACAATAAGCTTGAAAATTGATGACTTTACAAAAATTTAAATAGAAATTAGTAATTTAAGTAATTGAATTGCTAAGGTTGTTTAGATTTTATTAATTAAAAGCAAATTTAATTGCAGAAAAATGCAAAAGGGGAAAACAAATAATTATTTTTGAAATTATGTAATTTCCAAAATATTTTTTTAAAATATAAAATTCAAATATTGCGGAAAATATAATTAATAATCCTCAATAATTAAAAAAAATCCAAGCTTCTACACAAGGGACTTAATTCTGATTTAATTTTATTTTTATCCTTGATTTATTTCAAGAATAAACAACAATGAAAAAGATTATCAAATAAAAAGACGACGCAATAAACAAGTCATCAATTTTGAGAAAATAATTTAATTACACACCAAATGCTGCCGAAGACAAAACTAGAAACAATAAACAAGAAAGATCCATTTTTCTGGAGTGTTGCTGTTTATTTCGCCAAGCACTCGGCTCCTACTGCTCAAGAGAGACTCGAGTCGGTCGCAAGGCCAGAGGCCGTCGCCCCACCCTTTTCTTTTCTCCATTCCAAGTGAAAGCATTAAAAATCCAGCCTCATCGCATAATCGTGCAAATTGGTCGTGGCGAGGTTGAACCAGTGAAACACAATTGGATCTCGTTTTTAATAATATCTCTATTAACAACGATCATACAAGATTCATTCTACATAATTTCGGTATTTCACCTCGGGCTGAACACAATGAACTCAAGTCTAATTTTGACCGGGAAGGAAAGAACGCACTGAGAAGCGAAGACTTCCGATAATGGAAATCCGTCAGAAAATAAAAGAAAGAAGATCGAATGCTATCCTGGAAGTTTCAAGTTTCCCTTGATCGATGAAAATAAAATAAGAATTTTTCTCACGCAGAATCACTCACTCGAATCATTGCAATTGTGTTTGGACTACTACGATGGATGGGGAAATTTTTTTCTTGGCCACTAATTAGAAAAATAAAATGTCGAGGGGCTCCATAATTAATCACTAAAATTTCAACCAGCTCTAAAAATGCACTTTCTTTTTGAGGAAGAGAACGTGAGCCCCGGAAGCCGAAACACTGGAAACAATTGCAATGAAGGAATATTTTTTGTTTTAATTCAATCGACTCGTCGAATAAAAAAAAAAAAATTATCAATGCTGACGATCCGGGGCCCTATTCCGGAGCGCCGGTCAGGAATAGGGCCCCGCGGAGGATGGAAACGAGAAGGGAAGGTAAGCTTGCCAGGTCGTTGCTGCTCTCGTCACGTCCGCCCGCATCCAAGGGTGCGACAACGACGACGGCCGCTCTACTGCTTGGCTGCTGGGGTCGGCGACGCCGACGCAGTTGCCGACGCGTTTCCCGCAGCCACTGGTGCGGAGGCCTGTGACTGCTGGTCTTTGTAGTGCTTTTCGACCTAAAATCAATCAAGAAATAATATTATATATATTTTTTTTACAAGAAAAAAGATAATGAATTTATTAATAAGGATAAATAAATTGCAAAAGTGATAATTTTTAAAGCAAAATCAATAGAACTTAAGATTTTTCTGGCCAAAAAGAAGGATTGGTGGGTTTGGCGTTGTATTTACCATTAAAATCGCCTTCGAAGAGCAGAAAGTTGAGAGAAAAGTACAAATAAAATTAATATAATTCAATTTTTTTGGGTGCCTATTTTGCATAAAAAAATGGTCCTTCCCTCCAGAGAAATGTTTGGTATTTGATCAAAAGTGTAAAAAACGTTTTTACACAAACAAGTTTGCACTCTTGAATTTCACACTTTCTTTTAAGTATTTTAAAAGTTAGAAACTTGACTAAAAGAATCAAATTTATACAATAATTGTAAGAAGCTTTTATTTGAAGAAATTGACATACGAGGACATGATCATGGAAATGAAGATATCAGGATTATCCTTGTTACAGAAATTGTTTTTTATTCAAAAACAAAACTAACAGTTTCAGTCAAGATCTGCAGCCCTATTTCATGAAGCACGAAAAATAAAAATCAGCAAATTCAAAAATGAAAAAATACAAAGAAAAAAAATCATATTTTAACACAAAAATCTTAAAACTAACAAATAAAAAAATAGGTTGTTCAGAGATTTTAATTTTTATGTTTCAATTTTCTGATTTTTTTTTGTATTTTCTTGCTCACAAATTAGGGTCGCAGATCTTGATTGAAACTGGTAGTTTTGTTTATGAATAAAAAACAATTTCTTCATCGAGGAAAAGCTCGATCTCTTCATTTCCTTGTAAGATGCTAATAAACTTTTCAATTAGTTTGATAGGTCAATTTCCTCTCCCACAATTATATTCCTAACAATCATTTTATGCCCGCTAAGTTTATTGTAGGTTTTAATTTACCAATTTCTGGACATGAAGCAAAGCTCTTGACTCTCCATGGTTTAAGGCAGCGCCCCCTCGGGTGTCCGCGTTCGACAGTCTGACGTTTTCTACTTGGTAAGGAGGGGAAATAATGACTTGTTTCATGACAATGATATCTGCATTCGACCACGAGACGTCAGTGATCCTGAAATAGAACGAAAAAAGTAACATCAGACGACACAAGTTTTATCAATTGCATCAGATTTCTGTACGTTTTGGTGATAGCGAGGAAGAGGTTCTGTCCCTCGATGGACACTCCAGCCTTCAGTGCGGATATCATCCGACGCTTTTCCTCGACTTGGTTCCTTGTCCTGGTGCTGATCTGTTTAATAAATTTTTTAATCAGTTCCATCGATTGATTTTCAAATTGAAGTTTCTTACTCTGTGCAGATTTAAGGGTTGCGGCTGATCCGACGAGGGCGTGGCCTCTTTTGTTAATGTGATATTACTGACCCTGGCGAGGTTCACCATGTGGATGTCGTTCAGCTTGGCCTGGCCATTGGAAGCTGGGCTTTCTGTGCACGGGTCAAGGAAAAAAACACATGCGAAAATCATGTTCGCCGGTGGGCGACGGAAACGGGCGATTTCAAAATTGCGAGGCTAAACCGGTGCAAAGATCAATTAAAGTGGATAAAAACAAAGTAAATCTCGATTGATTTGGGTAAAAACAAGGAAAATTTAAGCAGTGTTATTGGAAGTGGTCAAAACAAGTATAAAAAAGTGGCACACAGAGTCAAATGTGCACTTTCGAACTGAGAAATGGAGAATGATTTAGCAAATGCGGCGACCTTTCGGGACGGAATCGCCGAGCCGAAAGCGACGCGCGGAGGCCGAACGCGGAAATTCGCGACGGCCGCGGCGAAATCGGCGAAAAGCACGCGTGAAAAGGGGGCCGACATGGAGGACGCAGTGCCAACTTGGGGCCCGGTTTGCGCGCAAAGTCACAAAAAGCGGTGCGTTTTGCAAAGGATACTGAGAACTAGCATCTTGGTCTGATGGTCGAAGGCCAGAACTTCGCCCTCCAGCTCTTTGTTTAGGCAGGTGACACATGAAACTACGCTTCCTATGGTAAAACATTCGCTAACTTGTGCCATCTTTAATCACTCACTGTCGGGAAACGACCGAGGCGACATCTGCGCGCAGCTTCTCGTCGAAAGCGAAAGTTGTGGCCAGCGACGGTGGCGCCGCCGCGACCGGCTCGAAAGACAACAGCTTTCGAAAGTATGCAACCTGTGCAACGCACGTGCCTGCAGTGGCCTTTTTAAGCCTATTTTACAGGCGCTATGAAAAGTAAAAAAAATCCAGATATTTTTCTATAAAATAAAAAAAAAAATTAACGCGGATTTTCAAACTGAGCGAAAAAAAATTAAAATAATAACTCACACTAACTAAAATATCAGCAACATAAAAATTCATACTCTTTTTTTACTTTTTCTTTGAAATTGAAATTAGGCTTTAATTAAAACAAAGTGATGATCGTTCAGAATGCGGTGTGTTTATTGAACGTTTACATTTAACATTACAGAAATAAGTCCATCTCATGAAAATTGTCCGTCTGGAAAAAAAGTTTTCAGCAATTTTTAAAGCTCTTCCATTTTGTTACCATTTAAACAATAATAATTTTTACTATACAGTATAATTACATTGAGATTTAAAGGTTTATTAGATGGTAGCACAGAAACTCTCTCGTTTTTCCACAATCAGTCAAATTATTTTGTATTCATATACACTTGAATTGAATATATTTTTTTTCTCTCTAATTTATACATTTTTTCATTCAAATTTTTCCTCCACAAACACAATTGAGTGATGCATATTATATTTCTATGAAAAGCAAAAAAAATTTGGGAATGTTATAATTACAATTTTAAATACAGCCAGTAGTAAGAAGATTTTCCTTACAGAAGAGATTCTCTCTTAATTTTAAATAATAGTTAGTCGCACATAGATATGATTGCTAATCAAAAGGTAATTTTAAAAAAATGGTGGATTTTTAATTGATTCAATTTAAATATTTCTTTTCTGCACATTACGCAAATGCAACATTTATTATAGCAGTTTTAACTTTTCCCCTAAAGTCATATGATATACATATTTATCTCGTTTTGAATACAAACATGACAAGAAACATTCATAAGTTGACAATCATAATAGTTTACAAACTTTTTACGTGACCCTGTGTCCAATTTGATACAATTGCATTGTAGCAAGAGAGAATAGTTTTTAACAGAGTATTATTTTGCAAGGGATATATTCGACTAATTTCAATACTTATTTGCAACAATAAAATGGTTTTGATCACAATATCACATTCAGAAATTCTACGATAACAATCCAAGCTTAAAGATTGGATTGTTCTTAAATGCATAATGAGTTCATTTATATATTTGAATATTACATTTTTGGATTAAAAATATTTAAAATAATTTTTAAAGTCAAAAGTTATTCATTCAAAAGTTTGGTAAAATGAAAATATCAGATATTTTTATTTATTTAAAAACACTTTTTCATTATCTTCCAGTTTTGAACATAAAAAGGTCAATTGTAAGTGTCACACACGAGGTCTTCCTTGGCCGGACCGTGTCCATTGCCGTGCTCGGCTCCGTTGGCCGAGTGCTCGGAAATGTCTGAAAAGTTTCGCACTTGATTGAGAGGCGGCGGCCGCAGGTGGCCTCTGACGTCGGCCAGCTCGAAAGCCGCACTGCGGCCGCCGGGGGAGTCGCGAGTGAACCAGACTCGCGGGGCGCGCCCTCAATCTTGAAAGGTGACCGCGGACAGGGGCACAACCTCGGTCGAGCGCGGCATCCGCACGGAGGATGCAATGGGCCCTGCCAGGTAGTGTTGCGAGTTGGGGGCGCCGCTGCGTGACATGTTGAAGCGGTGGGTGCGTGGGCGACGCGACAAACATCCAAAGGTGCGGCGGAACTCTTTGCGGAAGTTGCCTAAAAAATAAATTTCAATATAAAAATTTATTCTTTAAAATTAATTATTAAAAAATAACAGTTTTGATTTATTTTTGTTGCATATTAAATAGTAAATCATAAAATAAAAAAGAATTAATTATATTTTAGGGGGCGTTTAAACTATTAAATTTGTTTTAAATTCTAGTGAAAAATAAAAAAATTCTAAATTCGGCTTTCAGAGAATATTAAGAAATTGGGCTTGAATTTAGTTCAATTATTATTATTATTTTCTTACTAATTCCTACTTCAAAAGTCAGAGAAATATAATTAGTAAAAAAAAAAATTGACTTCTTCGAAAGGTGATTATAAAAATTATTTTGTAATAAATTTTCAGTCTTGGTGAAAAATATTTATTTATATAATTAATTAGCCCAAATTATTCATGGTTCCGAAATTTCAAGCCGCAGTCTGAATTAATTACTGTTAATCTGATTAATTGACAGCCGGATGAGAGACTCTCTCTCTCTCTCTCTCCATCCGCCCCGTAGGGTAATCTCTGGTGTTTGCCGACGCACTTGTGGTGCACGGCACGTCATTCAAAGTGTGCGTTTGTATAAATTTTGACGAATGAATCTCTCACCACTCATGAAGTTGTAGATGAGGGGGTTGACGGCGCTGTTGGCGTAGCACAACCAGTGCGAAATCATCGAGATCGCTGCTGTCACATGGTTCTGGGGGACGCCGGTCGTGTATCTGAGAACAAAGAGAGAAAGGACGACACGTCCTTTTAGTTCGAGCACGGATCGGATCGACTTTGCTTTGTGGCGAACAATCGATCGGGTAATTGTTTTTGATGCGCTGGTGTAATTTTAATCAACCAGCCCATTCCGTGTGCTCCATTTTCTTGCAAATTGGTTAAAATGCCTGATGGGGTGGTAGCAATTTAATTACAACTACTAATGAAACGGCGCCGATGACAACATATTGAAGTAGCGAGATCGATTTAAATGGATTTACAAACGGTTAAGTGTCGTTCTGTATTAAAATTTTAATTAAAACTGTTGGTAACAGATAAGATTTGTCTAAAACTTTCATAAAATATTGTTTCAAAATAATAATAATAATAAATAATAATTCTTTTAATACACTATTGACTACATCTTATTATTAGTAATAACTTTGAACCACAACTCATATTTGTGGATGATTATTATATTAATTATATTTCATAAAACTCATTCAAAATTTGGGCAACGTATCTTACATTAAGTTTAATTTGAGAATCGCAGGTTAAGTTATTTGTTTAATTAATTAAAAAAAAAATTGGAATAAAAAAATTAATTAAAATAATCATCTGCAACTATTTAAATAATATTTAACGTTAAAAAGTTTTGTTTTTTTAAAAGAGGTTTATATTAAAAAACACTTTTTAATTAAGTCCCACTGAAAAATAAAAAAACTTTAGGTTAAAATTATTGTACATATTGAAATACTAAACAAACAAAAAAATAATAAAAAATATTAATACGACAAAATAAAATCATAGAATGCAATTTCTGAATCAACTAAACATAAAACAAAAGCATAAAATTATTTTCTAGTTTGACAGATTTTTGTTTAAATCTTACATTTCAAATTATAATCTAGAATAATAAGAATATAATTTTATTTTCTGTTTAACTCTTGATTTATGCAGTTGTTTCGCTTGCAAAAAGTGATCAATGTTCTATACTTGTGTGCTTAACACAACTTGCAATTTATACTTTTAGCGTCACACGTAGTTCAGCAATACATTATTCTCCACTTTCCGCCTCCAACTTTTTCCAACACAATTCGATAGTGCAATTTTCCAGCTGGTGCGCCAACTTTCCTCTTTTACGTCGCCCAAAGAAATGCGGCGGCCGAGAAGCCAAGAAGTCGCACATATTATGCAAGTGCTGCACTCGAGAAGATTTAATGCAGCAGCCAGAGCAATAATTTCTGAGAAAGCAGAGAGATATTTTATCGGGTTATGGGATTTTCTCAGCGCACCGTTTTTTCCCTTCTGGAAATTGAACGTGATGGAACGGCACGAAGCAGGATTTGAGAGCTGCATAACGTAATGCACTTATCTGGATCAGCAAGAGCGTGTTTATAAATAAGTGCGCGTTGTATTCATTTCAAGTAATGCAAATTTAATAATAAAATCTGCACCTCTTCAAACAGATACATAACCTTGTATTGCAACTAATCCACTGTAAAATGGAGAAAATTGCATTTCAGGTATTAGTTTTTTTATGTTATTAAAGTATACATATGTGAAAGCGGTGGGGTTTATACTTTAATACTGATTATTATATTAATTATTTTGAATGGGGGTGTTTGAGTTGTTATTTTATTCTGGGTTTGATATAGCGTAAATTTAAGTTTAAAAATATGTCAGGATAGGAATTCTCAATTTAAGCAAACCCCGAAAACCAAACCGCTTTGCGCGCGAATCTATAAAGACTTATAGGAGCGATTATTTATTTTCACGGACTTCTATTTTCTGTATATCTCAGCTGAGCAGGTAAAAGGGAAAGTGAATGGACAACCTTTTTCATTCATTCGGTGCCCGTCCGAAAGAGCGAGGGGAGTAAAATGCGCCTGTATATCTTTACGACTCCCGAGAGTACGCACCCTGGCAGGTGCCTCTATTATATGATAAAATATTTATAAATAAATATTTCGGCGCTTTGTATCAATAAAGGTACCCTAGTACAGAATGCGTACCTACTCCAATAAGTACTTCATAGAAACACACTTTCAGGCCTGGCCATAATGAGCGAATTTATTTATATTTACCTTTTTATTTATATTAATCTTAAATCTCTTATTGGATTGATTTATTAATTAAAATCTATTTTCTTCTATTTGAATAGTCTACTATTATTTATTAAAATTATGTCTAGGTTAGATTTGTTTTCATTTAAACAAAATATTTTAAGTTTTTGAGAACGAAGAAAAGTATAATTATTTTTATTTTATGTAATCAAAAATTAAACGATACACCAAAATTTAAATATTATAATTTTGTTCCACTGAGTTTTATGATTTTCGTAAATTAAAAATAATCAATTCTGTATTTAATGAAATAGAACTAAACCAAGGTTCCTTAAAATCGTAATACAACCGAGAGAGAGATTTTTGTCCTTAAAACGTAACTTAAAATCGTAAAGGCTTGCGGACTGCTTTGGAGCGACAGTCTTTTCAATTAACTTTAACTGAAACTTAAACTCTAAGAGAATGAACTTTTTCCTTTCCAAATTAAAATCAAATAAAAACAAGCCGTCGGTACAACAGTAAATGGGCACAAATTAGCGTAAAATAACTCTAACCTTAGCTCCTGGCTCAGAGCGCGGCGTGGATGAGTGCCTTTCGGGTTGGAGTATTTTCTCGTCAAAAGATCAGCCACAACTTTTGATTCAGCTAATTTGAGTCAAATGGTCCTGCACTCTCGACCTGCGGAAGGTGAAGTCTGACCTTTCGTTTTACTTTTTGGCTCAGATCGGTTTGACGAGAAAATAAACTCCTCCTTATCTAACTAAATAGACCAATGAGCGCCTTAAAAATATCCTTATATTTTTTAACATAAAGAAATTTGTCCCGCGTCGCCCGCGCGACAACAAAAAACAACATATAACAAAGGACACGGCGCGGCTCGAACGGAGAGCCCGCGCGCAGCTTTTTTTCTCTCGGCGCATAAAATGCTATGCTACTGCTAAACTCTCTCTCTCATATGCGTGAAATACATTGATACATAATACATTAAGTAATTTAAAACTACAAAATAAAAATTAAAGAAAATCAAATTAAATATAACCCCATATAATTCACACATACATTTGTATGTATAGGATGAAGTGTTTTTATTCACAAAAAGTACTGCAAAACTATGAGATTGTTCAAAACAGAATTAAATTAAAAAACAAATTTTGGACACAAAAGTGTTTTAAAGGAATGAATGAATGATATTTTTAATTCTTTTTTTTTATCAAAATAGAAAATTTTAATTAAATGATAGAAAGAAGAAAAAGTAAAGTTTTACTGGATTATGAAATTTTAATTTGTAGATTTTTGGCATTTTGCAGTATTTTTTTCTTATTAATATATTTCAGGCAATTAAAAAATACGAAAGCGCGTTAAATTTAAGTTTCCTTTAATTTATTACAAAAATTAGGTTTAAACGGTTGATCGATTAATTAATCGCGTTCTTCTTTTCCGCAACATGGTAATATTTGAATTAAAGTAAAAATCGGTAAAAATAACAAAATAAAAATTCAAATGGCAAAGTAAAAAATTGAAACATAAAAAGTGTAACGACCTGTCTGTTTTCTGTGCACATATTCGCTGCGGCGTATGTTTGAAAAGCACCTCACGCGCGTAATTGTCGCTTTGCAACGTGACATTTTTGCGCAGGGATAATTCCGCTGCGTACTCCGAATTCGTGCTGGATTGCCACTCTTTATTTTCTCGCTTTTTGTCTGCCTCTCTCTCGAAATAAGTGCGACAGCGAAGTGCAGCTGGGTAAAAAAAAAAGTGGAATGAGCGCGTGTAATGCCCGTGTATTTAACCCACTCGCGCACAAAGAGGTCTGGAATTCGGAGCGCGCATTTGCCTCCCGGCAACTGAGTCAAGTGCGCGGCGACAGGTTGGAAAAAATTTGAATATTTTACCAATAAATTTTTATAAAAAAAAATCTGAAATATACTTTGATTATATAGAGAGAAAAATAAAAATAAATATAAATAAATTGATTTGACTCCAAAACGATCTTCTAGATAAAAAAAAATTAAAAATGATCGTTGTTAATTTGTTTCTGAGAGTGTGTATTTTTTTGGTATTTTATTTGTTATTCAGTCTATTCCAGTTTCCGTTTTAAAATTTCAAAAGGAATTAACGTGGATTCAGAAACTGAGCGAGAAAACGAATTAAAATGTCCAAATTTCAACTTTTAATTGGAAATTTTAATTCTTTTCAAAACTTTAGAGTTTTAATTGGAAAGATAAATTATTTTGGAAACAGAAATTTTTATCTGTATGGAAAGAATTAAAATTTCCAACTAAAAGTTGAAATTTGGACATTTTAATTCGTTTTCCCAGCATTGGTTTTCTCGCTCAGCTTCTGAATCCACGTTAAAATTTCTTTAGAAGAAAAAAAAACGATCTTGTTATTGAGCAACTCGATGGATTTTAAGATTCTACTTGGATTCTAGTTGAATACAACACTTGAAACATTTCGCTTTGATCTCCCTTTATATTTATTTGCGTGTAAATAGTTTCTCGCTGACGAAACATTAACTTTTAAGCGCCATGTCGCTCGCTCAAGCTTCAAAGCGGCTGGATTTTGCCACTGGCAGATGTTGCTGCGGCAAAGGAAATTGGATTTCACAACCGAAGCTACCTGTATTGTGCATGTATTTGCAGGTTATTATCATGTGCAAATGTGCACAACCGCGACACTTCCATTGCAAATGACTTTTAGGTCGAAGTATAAAGAGAATTCCACAGAGGTAAATTAGAATATCAAGAGCGAGTTGAAAATCGACGAGAATTTTATTGAAAGATTTCTATCAGAATTAAATTATCAATCGTTGGTTGACTTTTGATTGGAAGAAAATTTCACTCGATCTCTCTGAGGTAACAAATGGCTCGTTCGCATCAAACTTTTAATTAATTTTCCGGTCGCGCCCTCATCGACTTTTGTTCTCACGCAAAATCATTTAGTTAATTGCCGAACGCCGCGACGCTGCCATTATTACAAAACTTTCTGCCATTCCTCACCCTTTTAGAAACAATCAACCCGCACAATTTTCGTCTCTCGGGGAGAGATACTTATTCGTTACGAGTTTGAAGAGTTCATTTTATTCTTGGAGCTTCTTCTGCAGAGAGGAAAAAACTCGCCTCGGCAAACATCGCCCTGTAAAAATTCTTTCCAATTTACGAAGGTAATATCGAACTCCCGTCGGAAGCGCATTAAGGATCTTGTGAAAAACGCCTTTAACCCAATTCAGCGCTAATCGTGCCTCTGCTGGAACAATATTTTTCTCGCCGCTCCACTCCACCCATAGGAAACCAGGCATAACGAGCGGAGGCGTATCTGTGACGCCAGTGCATCTCTCACAGCCGGCGCACAAGCTCAAGATAAAATATAAAACGCACAAAGTACATTGTGTGTTATGAAAATAGAAAAAAATGATGCTTTGTATTCTGAATAATGGCATCTTGCTGCCGGTGACACAAACATTATGACGGGGTAAAGAAAAATACTTTCTTAAAAGTATGCGTTTCCTTATTTAGTTTTTATTAAGAGACTGAATATTTAGCTAAAAAAACACGAGATGAAAATGAAGAAAAGAAACTAATTGATCTTTCTTTAGCTGGCTCATTCTTGTATTAATCAGCGCTTACGAAAAAGGTAATTGAATTTGTTAGTTTTAAAATTTTGAAATTTTTTGTTAAAAATGTGGTTTTTCAATTTGCTGATTTTTTTGGTAATTTTCTTGCTCATGAAATAGGGTCGCAGACCATGATTTAAACTGGTAGTTTTGATATTTTAATAAAAATAATTTTCACAACGAGGAAAATCATTCCCACAAAAATTCAACCCTGCATGGTTATTAAACTTAATATAATTTTAAATTGGGTATTTATAAGATTTGGCGGTTCTTTGATTTTTTATTAGCTGTTAAAAATTAATTTAACCTAAATTCAAGGGATCAACTTGCTCTTTAACGTTTTCTCGCTCTTTGCAACTTTGTAAGGATGGATTATCCTAACCTTAATTCAACAGCAAATTAAAAAAAAAAAGCAAAACTAGTATAGTTTTGAGGGTTTAAATGGGTTTACTTTTGGTCGAGAAAACAAGGACTGCACACCAGAACCAAAATGGCGAAAAAAATATATTTTTTTCCTTGAGCGCACGATTTAGATGAATAGAATCTAAATTGCATTGCCCGAAAGATCAAGTATTCTGCATAACGCGTGACAAAAAAAAATTGGTGTTACACACAGATAATAAATTGAGCCGATTTTGCTTTCAATTAATTTTGTTTGAAAATGAATTTCACATTTGAAATTTTTATCGGAGCACTGTTCTGTCGAAATTTGGATTTTTGTATTTCATCGAAATGAGTAAAATATATCGCAATATACAATTTTTTTCAACATTATTAGTGTAGGCATGAAAAAGGAAGCTTTGCCTAAAAAATTCTTTTTTAATCTTCTTTTAAAATATTATTTTATCAGCTCCATAAACTGACTGTACGTGGGCCATTGTAAATAATAATGATTTTCACATTTTTTACTTCAGTATAATTTTAAAGGAATATTATAGAATAAATACCAGACTTCGTAATAAAAAAAAAAACTGCTCAAAGCGAGCGGAAATTTCTATCCAATTCTGTCGAAGCGTTGATAAAAGGCGCGCTCATTAAGGCTACGTACGCTTTTATATTAAATTAAAGTTCCTCACGCACCTTACACAGTTCTGGGAAAAAGAGAGGAAAGTTTACCCGGCTGGACTCGCTCTAATGAAAAAGTTGGTTGCTTGACGCGGGCACACGCAAACAAAATTAATTACCTGAGGATGCTGAGGAGGTGGACGGGCAGATAGCACACGGCGAACATGACCACGACGGCCACCAGCATCTTGGCCGCCTTTCTGCGCGCGGCCAGTTGCGTCTCGGCCCCCCTGTTCGCCGTGCACACCAAAGGGGTGCGGCGGGTGCTGCCGCTGCTGTTCCACCCTGCGAACAAATACAATATTCCATTTTTAACAAAAACAAGCAGAAGACATTTCAACACTACAAATAAAAAGTAAATTAATAAATAAAAAAAACTTATATATCATTGCCGAAGCATGATATTTTGAATTTAATTGAATAAAGGCCTCTAGATGGCTAAATAAGTTAATATGCATGACCTAATATTCAGGCTGGAATTTAAAACGAAGCAGAACTTTTCTAATCAGACCACCGGAAATGTCCAATCAAAATGTGTTGAGATTAAATTATTGAATTTTTAATTAATTATTGTTTTTTTATTTGTTCACATTGTTACAAATACATTGTTTACATTTAATTTTTGAAAAACAATTATACAAAAATCACGGAAATTCTATTTTGAAATGAATGACTATATTTTTAATTTTAATGCGTTCATGGTAGAATTTCACGATTGATTGATGATTCATGAATATTAATTGAATTTAAATTCAAAATTGTTAAAAAATTGAGCTCAAACATATATCCGACTTTACAAACGCGTTAACGAGACAGTGCGCAGTAAATTGAACCTTTGACCATAGCAATTTATCATTTGGCATTTTTCTCACTATAGTTTTTGATTGACCTCTCGCATGATGTGTGCCCTCGTGAATGCTGGGGAAGAACCAATTCGCAGAGGGCAATTAGGACGTTGAATGCAAAGATCGTGTCATGAAGTTGATTGCTTCGTAAACAAACACATTGCGGCTCAAAAGCAGAATCAGCGACTGGACTCTCTCGCATTCGCTGACTTGGTATTGGCTCGGAAAGTAATGCGTCTGAAAGGGGCGATTGCTGTCGGGGTGCTTTGCATCCTTACTTTTGCATTGAAAACAGAGGTAATAAATACAGCATTTTATTTTTAATCTTTCAACCCATAATGTTTTTATATTTTAACTTTACGTCTTTTAATTGATAAATTTTGGCCGCGATTCTTTCATAGATGTATGGCCACGTTAGAAGATTTGATTTTTAGAAATTTAACATTGCGTCTTATAGGAATTTCTACGTTTTTCCAATTAGAAAAAAAATTGGCCTGAAATTTTTGCCTTAAAATTTTACAATTTAAATTTCAATACTGCTGAATAAAATTTGGGGGTTCATGGACATTAAAATTAATCATATCCTAACATTATTATTATGTGAAAATTTCTTAGGCCTCCTTGAATAAAAATTAATACCATGAGCAATTACATTTTTTGCTTACATCTTTTTTAGTGTGCGCGATATGCGAGAGAAACTGTTGAAAATGGGGCAACTCAAGCCCCTGAGCACGACTTTAATGGAGTTGCTGATTTCCACGACATAATCAAAACCTACAAGACCATACAAAAAGTGATTTTTTCAATTTTTTTGTACGCATCGCTTGTATGAATTAAATTAAAGGATGCGAAAAATTTGGTTTCTGACGATTCTGCCGAAGTGGTAAATAAAACTAACTGGCGAAATGGAAAGACCTTTGCTGGCAAACTTGGCTACATGTTAAGCAACTCAAAACTGACGGACTGCGTGTTCATCGTCGGTCCCGACAACAATACAGAGGTAAATTGAGAACTTTTTCAGAGCGTCCGGTTTTTACATAATGAGATATTTTTAGAAAATCGAGGCTCACTCCGTGATATTGGCGGCCGCCAGCCCCGTTTTCGAAATGGCCCTCGAAAATTCAACTAGTTTGCGAGTCAAAGAGTGGCAGCCTTCAGAGTTTAAGAAAATATTAAGGTAAAATACGCAGTAAATTGCAAAATAAATTTAATCGATGGTGAATTAGTTTCATTTATTCCGGTGACCTGTGCTTTGATGACTTTGACGAGGCGTGCACCCTGCTTAACCACGCGTCCAGTTTGGAACTTGATGGTGCTAATGAGGCTGCCCGTGGCTACGTCTTTAATTACATGTATCCGAACAGGCTGTGGAACGCGTACCAGTGCGCAAAACAGGCGTCCGATGAAAAACTTTTAAATTTTACAACAAAGGTAAATTAAAATAATTATTTTATGCTACAATTTTTCGATAGTGTGTTTCTGTTCTAATTATTTTAGAGTAGGGACTTTGTTTGAGGATTTAATTTTATGAGACATTTTTACTGGTTTTGCTGCAACTGCGAGAGAAAAACCTGAGATTTTAATTTAACAAAATTTTAATAACAAAATATTTAATTAAATAGCTAATCAGCGCCAAAACTACAGAGGCACTCAAAGACCGCAAGTTCAACGAACTGTCTCAAGCGGATTTGGCTACGTTTGTTGCTCGTGGCGACCTGAATGTCGAATCTGAGGTGGAAATTTTTGAAGCTGTCACTCGCTGGGGCCTGACGCAGGTCCTCAAGGACGGTTTAACGCCGTCGCCGGAATTGATGAGAGAGAAGATCGGGCCCGAAGTTATCAAAAACATTCGGTTTTTGACCATGACCGGCGCGGAATTCTCAAGGATGCACACGAACGCCAAATTGCTGAATTACGAAGAGGGACTTGCGGTTCTTTTGAACATCAACAGCCCGGGCGTTTTGGATTTGCCCAAAACCCTGTGCCCCCTGACGGAAAAGAGGGAGAACGTTGCAAGTGGCGAGTCTGAAACTTTTGTCACTTATGGAATTGGAGGAAAGAATTCTGTCTGCAGTAAAAAAGGCCGGGCTGAAGAATCGGGCGACTATTACGATTTGTACACGACCACAATTATCCCAAATACTGACCAGTGGAACATTTTGGGAATTCAAATACCGAAGAGTTTAGAGGCGCAGGCAGATTGTTTGGTGGAAGAGCATTTCGATATTTTAATTTTAAATTCTCAAAATGAAGTTGTTGAAACATTTTTCTATAACGCTGCTCCACTATGCACAACTGATCGGTTCACTTACAATGGAGGTTTTTATTCAAGAAATGACGGAAAAGTGATCAATTTAAAATTCAATAAAATGATTTCTATCCCATCGATGAGACATATCAGCAGTTTAAGCTCACAGCAGCGATACAAGATTAAAATTGTTTTCAGGGATCAAAAGACCTATCCCCGTAGTGTATCAAATGAAAATAGAAATAGTCCCAGCTCCAGCGCTTATTATCTGTACCACAGCTACTGGAACTTTTTGGGAACCAGCGTTCGATATAGACTTCTTGATAACTCATCATTTGTTTACGCAATAATGACGCAGAATTGAAAATTTGAGTGAAATTATAGAACACAATAATCCAGAATGAAAATTTGTTAGAGTAACTCTATGTTTGTGAAATCCGTTTGAACAATTAAATAAAATTGATATTAAATTTAAATCAAGAACAATTTATTCCTCATATTTTTAATAAGGTTATTTAATATTATATTTCTACTGGAGAGAGCTGATGGTAAATTTTTAGAGCTTTAACATAAAATAATGATGTTTTGAATTTTCAATATTTTCATTGGAGATAAGCAGCTGGCACAGTGGTGAACAGAATAAATCTAAATAGTATCGGGTCAGTGGGCCGACAAGCATGATGGTGGTTAAATGGCTTCTTCAACTTTTGGTGATCCACGGCATCTTACTGCAGACTCTCGGTGCAGGAATTAATTTGGTAAGACATTACGCAATAATTTCAATGTACACAAAAATTAAATTGTGAAATATTTTATTATTACAGCAAAATGAAAGTGATATAAACCTTTTATCCACAATGAATACTGAGCAATATTCAACAGAAATAGTAACTTCATCAACTTCCGAGTCCCCTCAAGAACTGATTCCGGAAAAATTAAAATATATAAATTTCCCTTACCAACAGCTCGAAAAATCATCAACGCAAGAAGTATTTTAAAATATTTTATATTTATATAGATTAATGAGATTTTTTGGTTAGACGTCTGATTTATCAGCTAAAATAAAGCAAGTTTACAAAGAAAAGTAGACATGGAAAAGCATAGATTTCCAAAAGAAAATACATTTTCTTTACTCGCAAAACATAATGACTGATTGTAACTTCATTGTGGGTTCTGGCAATGATACCGAGGTAAAAATTCAATTAATTTATCAATTAACCCGTCTGATCTTTGCATTTAATAAAAAAATATTATTTTATAAGGAAATATCTGCACATGCAATTGTTTTGGCAGTCGCGAGTCCTGTGTTTGCCAAGGCCTTAGAGAGTAACCGAAATTTCCGATTACCCGAAGTTTCGCCAAGCGATTTCCACCAAATTATGAAGTATGCATATTATATTTTCACGATGACATAACTTTAAATTTAATTTTTAGCTTTTTGTACACGGGTGAGCTGTGCATTCGCAGTTTTGAAGAGGCCTGTTCCCTTTTAAGACGGGCCGCGAACTTTGGCCTTGACGAGGTGGTTGAAATAGCGCGAGGCTACATCGTCTCGAAAATGTATCCGAACCACATTTGGCACGCTTATCAGTGCGCCCAAGTGGTCAAAGACCAAGATTTAATGGATACAGCGTTCATGGTAAGATAATAAAATTATGCGACCTGACTAAGCATAAACACAAATTTACATTAGTCAATCTGCTTGTTTTTTAGCTGATAATGAAATTCACCGAGAAAGCAATCAACGATCCAAAGTTCAACGAGATATCTCAAAGCGACCTCGTGGAATTTCTCTCCAAAGAAAACCTAAATATAACAAAAGAGTACCGCTTGTATGAGGCTGTCGTCCGGTGGGCCTTTTTCCAAGCCTCACGCCAAAAGGTGAAGGCAACGCCGGAAAAGCTCCGCGAGATTATTGGGCTGGACGTTTTGAAGCAAGTGCGCTTTCTGGCCATGTCCATGGACGAATTTCATATGGTTTACAATGGATTTAGAATTCTTAGTTATGAAGAAAGTCTTCAGATCATATTTAATATCAATAGATATAATTCAATTCATCTGAAAGAAATTTTCTCTAAAAACAACAAGTCAAGAACAGGCATTGATTACGTCGATGACAATAATTCTACCATTTTTATGAGTGGCGTGCCGGAAAGTTGCAGTACAGACACATTTAGTACAGATGACACATATTCAGTTCTTACTTCAGGAGAGCTTATATCCCAATATAGTACTTCAAAATTGAGAGGGATTCAAATTCCAAAGAGTCTTGAGGCGTTGGCCGACAATTGTACCTCTTTGAAGGAGCACTTTGATGTTTTTGTGTTTGACCAAAACAAAAAATTAATTGTTAACACGACTTACAACCAGATTCCACCTTGTACCGTGCCGAGTTACAATGTGATAAAATCTTATGGCAATCTAAGATGGGTAACCAAACAAGAGAGTAACCTAATCAATGTAGGGATTAAGGAAACCAACGTAAAATTGAGAGAGAAGTACACAATTAAGGTTGTTTTTCGAGTTCCTCGAACACTTCCATTGACACTAAGGAAGTCTGAAAATCTCAATACTGAGCAACGCAGTATGCAGACCACAGGCGTGACCTTTATGGATTACAGCAGTAGCTATTACCATTATCAACCCAAAAACAGTTTCATCGTCTCAATTGTACTATATCACTAGTATGAGGCACATCTACACGCCAACTTCTCTTGAGGGTCCTTCAAAAAGCGACATGTTTGCCTTGACATATTTTTTTATTCACGATTTATATTTTCATTTTTAATGTACCAACATGATTTTTGAAGAATAAATAGTATCATTATAACTTATTGTGTATTAAATTATTGCTATTATTATTAAATGTTCCTATTACACACTTTGCAATAAAGACTTAAAAAATTTATTCCATTCGACGTAAGGCGAATGTAGAAAAGCAAGGACAACATTTTTGTGAGTAATTTCGCGATAATATAAATTATTATTACAATATTTAAAATGTATGCTCCTTGCGTGAAAAAACGTTTTAATGAGATATGAAAAAAAAATTTGAAAGACGATAAAATAAAATTCATAATATACATAATTTTCATCAAATGTGTTATATTCCATGCTTGTGTTTGAAAATAAGTCAAAGGTCACGCTGAGGCTGATGAAAATTATCGTGTACAATCGCCCTCTAAATAATCTTCAGTTTCTCAATAAAGCTGAACCAAGTGAGGCCAAAAGAATGGACAAGCCCTTAATTTTACTATTGTGCGTGCTAATTGTTGGCTTCAAAAATAGTTGTTCCGGATATGAAGAAAATATTGAAAGAAGTACTGAGAGCACTACAATGATTGTTGAAGAGGTAAATCGCCAATTTTTTACAGCTATAGTCTAATCTCGCCTCAATTTATAATTTTATTTTTTTCCATACATAAAAAGTTGAAATTAAAAGAGAAAAAAAACATAAATCAAGAGAACTAGAGAAACATATTTAATTTAATACAGTTGTAAATTTTAAAAACGAATTGTCCGCAAGCATGATATGTTGAAATAAAAAAGTATAAGCACAGTTGCCTACTTCTTAAAAAACCAATTTAAAAAAAAAAATTAAATTATTTCATATTTTGCTTAAGGGAAAGCAATAATTAGTAGGCTTTAGTTTTTAATATCATACAAAAACAAAATTATATCAAACATTGCAATAAAATTGCCTTATAGACTTCTGCAGCCACAGAGGAACCTGAAGTTGAAGAAATTATCAGACCATCAATTGACTTTCGTACCATAATAAATAAATACCAAGAAAGGGTGAGGACATATTTTCACAATAAAATACCTTTTTTGTGCTACTGCTTAACCAATTACAGGAAAATCCAAGCGAAAATGTGCAAACTCAAGAATTTGGTTTTATGAAAAATTTACAAGAAATATATTCAAGTGGATTTTTGACTGACCGCACATTTTTAGTGGGGCCTGATGGTGAAGTGGAGGTATGAATTTTAAAAATCCTTTTTATATATTTTCTAATATAACTACCCCATAATTATTCAATAATTTTTAGAAAATAAAAGCGCACGCAGTTATTTTAGCAGCCTCAAGCAAACTTTTTAAATTTGCAATGAAAGAAGAAACAACTACATTTCGAATAGATACCATAGCTGGTGCAGAATTTCGGAAACTGATGAAGTAAGAAGCAAAATCCCACACTTGTCTTGTCTAACGTGAGGTCACAGAGTCCATAATTGGCCTTAAACTGGACTCCGTAGACTCGCGTTGGACATATGTAGTGAAGATAAAAATAAACTAAACCTCTTTTTTTTTCAGTTTCATATATTCAGGTGCTCAATGCGTTACAAACATTGAGGAAGCTTGCGTTCTACTTAAACACGCAAACACGTTTGGATTGAGTGCCATCAGTGAGGTTGCCCGAAGCTTCCTCTTCTCCAAAATATATTATTCATACAATACTTGGGACGTGTATAAATGTGCTGACGAAGTGAAGGACCAGACGCTAAAAAATGCTATTTTAAAAGTATGATGCATTAGTGGCATGTGAAGTACAGTTAATAATAAGTATTTGGATTTTAATCAATTTATGCATAATTTACTCAAACATGTATTATTAAGGAAGATTGAAACCGGGCGAACCTCGTTGCAAAGAAAAGATGAAAAAATAAAGGACAACTGACCCCAAAGGCGACCTGCGGTCTGCTTTAAAACCTAGGTTTTTGTCGCGTCCCAACTAAAACTAAGTGGGAGGAATTATTAAAAAATTAAATATAAAATGGGATAAAATTAATTGCTTAATTAATTTCTGCAATTTTTGTTCATTAAAATTAAATTCTCCCATTTTATTTTTAATTTTGTAATAATTCCTCCCACTTAGTTTTAGTTGGGACGCGACAAAACCCTAGGTTTTAAAGTACCAGCAGACCTCAGGTCGCCTTTAGGGGTCAGTTGTCCTTTATTTTTTCATTTTTTCTTTACAACGAGGTTCGCCCGGTTTCAATCTTTCATGAAATCCACCTCGAGTGTTATCATTCCATGTATTATTAAAATGTATTTTTTTTGCAGATTCTCTCAAATCGTACCAATGAGCTGGCAAAAGACGAAAAATTCAGTCTAATGACTCAGGAAGATTTGATCAAATTTGTTCAATTTGATAATATGAATATTAAGGGTGAAATCGAGTTGTATCAAATAATTATTCGTTGGGCCTTGCGCAAAGTATACGAAAAAGGACTGGAGAAAAAATCTGAAGTTCTTCGGGAAATAATTGGAGTTGATATTTTAAAAAATATTCGTTTTCTATCTATGTCGATAGCTGAATTCCAAAAGGTCTACTTAGGTTTCAAAATACTAACATATGAAGAGGCATTATCCATCACTTTTAACATCGACAAATACAATTCAATCTATATACCTGACTCCATCTCACCGATAAGCACGCCTAGGACCTCGCATTCTTTCAGAAATCCGAACGAGTCTTTTGAAATGATCGGTGTACCCGACCCATGCAAACCCAAGAGTGATAATCACAGATTTTTTAGAAATCGAATTGATAATAATGATATTTATACTACCCTTACTCAGAGTGAAATTCCAAAATCACGCCGTAGATTTCACTTGCGTGGCATACAAATACCTAGAAGAGTGTCTGTTGCTGGAAACATATTATGTAGCTCTGCAGAGGAGCACTTTGACATAATAGTTTTTGATTTTCACAATAATACCGTTAGCGAAACCACACACAATCAGATCCCCAAATGTGAAAATGATAGTCATTGGGATCGGAAGGAATCTGAAACAAACGATTGTCTTTGGAAGCGAGTACGCCCAAATCGGCTCATTAATATAAAACTTGATGTTCAGATACTGCCGACAGTGCCGACAATTATTGATTATTTTGACGATGATGCCGACAGTGCGGACGATATCCCATACAAAGTAAAAGTAATACCCCGTCAAACAGCAAGATACCCTTTGACTTTGTCTAGTTTGATTCAAACATCTGAAGATGGTCGAAGATGCTCTGATACTAATCCATTTAAGTCTGACTTCTCTGCAGGAAGTTATTACTATCTGGATAAGAGTAACTTTATTTACAGCATGATTTTGGAAGAATTATAATTATATCTCGTCCAAAAGGCAACACCTAACTATGAGCATCTCTAGAAATTGTTTGCAATGGAACTTTATAGCATACTATTGAAAACTAAAATAAATAAAATGGTAATAAAAGTGTAATAAATATTTCTGTGTGTATAGGCGTGAATAAAAATTATATTTTGACTAGAAAATATAATTTCTTTTTAAATTCAAATATTATAAAAAAAATTATTTCTTGTTGAGTTTTCTTAATAACTGTACAATAAAAAAAAATGCAAGTTCACCTTGGAACATAGAGATGGATGATGTTTGCAATTTAATTCAAGCTAAACTCACCAGCGAAAATCAAGTAGAAAGTAAAACACGTGCAATATTTTTTTGTCACCTAAAACTCATTTTAATTGCATGCTCCGTCATGTTTAATATTGTTAGTTAGTTATTTTTACAGGTTTTTATTAACCTTCCAACTCAAGCTAAATTAATGAAACATGCAGTTCCGTAAACATTTCTGAATAGAAAAAAACGGAGAATATAAAAATGATATTCTTTTTCCTGTAAAATTATGAATAAAAAAATACGCATCAGGATAACTTATTCCATAAATAAAAGCATAAGGAAGGCAAGAAGCGTGTCAAATATTTGAAAATTTGGCACAACATCCGCCTGCGCCGGAACCGAAAGCCTGCCGATAAGCCGCTGTGAAATATTCCACGTTTGGCTGCGACTCACACAAGCCGATACACGTCAAATCCGGCGTTCGATCGCATGCAATATTAAAAGCGCCCAATTCCCGGCGCCGCGCATAATTTCCCGCACGCCAAACCACACGCGGCCGTAACTCACAAGACGCAAAGCAAGAAATCTCAAGCCAAATTCGGCGGCGCAAAATAAGCCGATGAGTCACCTGCGGATTTTCGTGCAAGTGAGCAATAAAGATAAGGGCGCGCGCGCTTTGCAGTTGCGAGTGATTCGATTACGACCGTCCGGGTGATTTCTCTGTTTGAAGCAGAAATAAATTTGCCAAAGAGGAAGAGCAAGAAGCGAGGAAAGAAAAGCGCTCTCGTTCTCGTTCCTCTTGCAGCTGGAAAGGGAGTGCGATTAATGAATGTTCGCAATCACCTACACGCTAGCACAATTGAAACTTTACACCCGAGAAAGTAATCTAGTAATTGCAAAAGTTTACTGATCAATGTGGTTAAGTCGATTTGTAAGATTAAATCATTTCACTTGCAATTGATACCGCCAAATAGTACAATTTTCCCGACATTCTATGATAAATTTTCAGAAAGGTGACGGTTTATTTGAAGACCATAATAATTTCTTCTGATTTTGACCCTTTTTTAATTTAATAAAATGAGATTTCATGCAGAGATTCTGGAAAATTAGGCAATATCTTGGCATTGATGTTGCGCAGGTTGCATATGTTCTGAAAGCCAAAGTCTGTAGAAATTATTTCATTTTTACTTATTTTTTAATATGCTCAAATTATTATTTTTCTGAAATAAAAGAATTTTAAACTGGTTTCAAAGCAATTTATTTGTATAACCGAAATTGAGCTTATTTATTTTTCCCTACCAACGGTTTTTCCTTTTTTGGGGTACAAAAAAATACTAAAATATTAAGCATAAATATTTACAGTACGAGACTACATTAAGCTTTCCATTTTTAACAACAGTAAACAGGAAGCAGCCCGGCTGAGAAAACACAAAGGAGGTAAAAATCTCTCCATGCCACCAGATCCCCTGCTTGACGCATGATGCAGAGTTTTCTTTCATATTAGGATTTATGTCAGCCGTGATGAAATGCCAAAAATGTAATTTAGTACATATACGGGTTCTCTGTTCGCATCGCTGAGCAAATTTCAAATAAAAATTCTTCCACGAAACCTAGAAAGTGAAATTCGAGGTTTTTTTTTTAGAAAATATTTCATAATGAGGCACCAAGAAATGTCCACTTTAATATATGTTTTAGGGAAACTTTGAATGTCTGGAAAATACGCTCCAGCCAGAATGGACGGAAATGAATTTTTCTGCAAAAAGTAGCTCGTTGAGTGTCGACGGCGGGAAAGCACTCGTCGTTTGAGGACTCCAATCAAATGGCAACATATGAAAATCGAATCTTGATGCATCGAGGGGTGCTTGAGGAGGCAATCATCCGAGACGTTGAGCAAGGAAACTTCCTCAGAGCGGAAATAAATTTACACGCAAGGTGCATAAAATTACGAGTGAATATCCGGAGAGTCGGCGTCAGAATTTACTTTACATCCTAATGAGACGCAAAGTCGCGAAAAACGCGGCGCCACCTCGTAAATATGCATGGCTGAATATGTGGCAGCCGATGAAATATTAATTTTAAAACTCTGACGTGTGTGTGAAGGGCTGAAAATTGAAAAAAAAAAAAAAAAAAAAATTTAACACACACCACGGGCTGCGATGAATTTTTCAGCGGGCTTGCAAAACTAGGCAGCAAAACGTGCTTGTGTTGTTTTCACATTTCCAAAGCAGCAAAGCTTAATTAAATCAATGTTGGGAATAGTTAAATTTTTGCATCCCCCCTTCTTTTTTTATTAAACATTTCAAAATTTAAAAGTGGAAATAAAAATAACAGGCATTTAAATAATTATTTTAGCTATAAAATAAGGTTTTTGCGACTGGTAGAAACTTTCAATTTTAGACTGCAATTTTCTTTATTCACGTTTAAATTTTGAATTAAACTCCTTTAAAATGATTTTTTTTTTCAAACAAATTGTTTAAAACAATTAAATGTAAACAATATGATTTAAAAATTGAAATATTAATGAATAAACAACGTAAAAAAGCAAAAAAATTAATTAAAATTGTCTCACAAGTTCAACGTTTATTGATAAATATTATAAATGAAAAAAAGGGGTTGCATTTTAAGAGTATATCGTCTTTAGTTTTCTCTCGTCGCAAGCATTTTAACAAAAGAACTTGTGACAAAATCTCAAGTTGACGGCGCATTTTTTATATCTTGCACGCCTCAGCACAATTAAGTCGTTAGACTCGTCCTCACTTCATTCTCGTCTCCGTGTTGTCTTGCGAAGAGCGAGTTTTTTTTTCAAAAAGCTCCAACTGCGACAAGCGCACGCACACAGTGACAAAAGTACGGAATCCGTCTCTGCTTTTCTTCCGCTGCTGTTTCCTCTCGCGCCACACCGGCCGCGGCCACATGCAAATTCCTTTCTTAAGCTCCGCACGCAGAGTCTAAACACACTCGTGGCTTCACAAGCAGCCGCGACGCTTTTTGCCAGATTGCTTTTTGCATTTAGCAGCGGTGGTAAAAAAGAAAAAAAAAAAAGAAAGACCTGAGAATTTTTAGCAATTCAAAACGACAGTGGAGCTTTAACACATAAGTCTGACAGTATCTTAAAATAATCTCATGTTTAGAACTACGTAATTTGGTATAATTGGGTATTATTTCTTGGTATAATTATGTAAATGAGAGTGTCTTTAAGATGTCTTTATCTGAGAAAAAAGATGTCTTTATCTGAGAATAAAGATGTCTTTATCTGAGAATAAAGATTACTTTATCAGAGAATAAAGACATCTCAATCTGAGATAAAAGATGTCTCAATCTGAGAATAAAGATGTCTTTATCTGAGAATAAAGACGTCTCAATCTGAAAAAAAAGACGTCTTTATCTATGAATAGATCTATGAATTATTTTATTTGTATATTTGATCACAGTTAAGTATATTTTAAGTTCCTGTGCTTTTCCAAAATTAGTTCCAAGTGAGGAATTTAATAAAATGTCAGGAAAAATCAAAGATCAGAAACTTTGAGGGGGAAAAAAAACTTTTTACTCCATTTGTTTATTTCCTGTTATTTTATAAAAACGATTCCTGTGTCCCTTTGTATGAGGTTGCACTCAATATTTTAGCCTCCATTTTTTCGCATCGTTTGAAGTAATTTCAATCTGACCGTGAGCGGTGAAAAATTGTGAATTAAAGAGTTCACCAATAATATTGGTAATGAGCAGCAATTCGCCAATAGAGAAAATTACCCTGCTTATTGGCAAGGAAATTCAGTGCTTTTCACCTGCGGCCCGTGAATAGACCTTCTCGAGCAGCCCTTCAATAACACGCACGGACGACCAGGTTACTTTGATTGACGCTCACTTCAGTCGAGAACGCATTCATCAGACAGAAGTTGACTTGTCGGTCTGCGTGCAAATTAATCGGAGCCGAAATTCAGAAGCAATAAACTTGAAACGCAAGAAGTAATATTTGGTTGCAAAATTGATTTCGGTCAGGCATATTACAAGCTCCCGGCGCATTAATTTCATTCTCTAGGCAAACACAGAGAGCAAAGACCCGGGCCGAGAGTGAATTGTGATTGCATGAATTATTAACCTACAACCGGGAGGCGAGGGAAATCCGGTTGAATTGCTTTGCCTACGGTCTCTTGAGCTTCCATTAGCCGTCCGTAATTGCCTCTGGGAGGACGATTTTCTGTCCATTTGGGCGCGATAAACGTCCGGTTAAATCACTTGGCCTGTATCGCTATATAAAAAATCATCTAGGCCTCAGAATTCTCCTATTCACAAAAATAATTACAAAATTTCTTTTGAAATTTTTTCTTAGTAAAAAAAAAAGATTTATTTGGTCTAATTTTAAAATCCAGCTGTCTGAAAACTTATTACAACTGTTGAATAAAGCAACAGTTCTTTTTTTTAAATTATTAATGCATTTTTTAAAAGTATATATTTTTATTTAGCATTTTTTCTCAATTTTAAATGCCACATCATCTATTATTTTCCAAAATAATAACTTCACACAATATGAAATTGCTATCCCATTACTTTTGGTCGGACGATTTTGACGCGCTCCTTTCAATACACCCCATCCATGTATTATTACATGAAGAGCCAACTTCGGGAATAGAATTCCTGACCATCTTTGATGTTTTGTTAACAAGCACGCCAACGTGAGACGCTTTTGAAACTCTATGCGAAAATGAAACGCCTAACACAACAACGACGTGCCCTTTCTCCCAGGGAGGTGAGTGTGTGTGATCTCGGAACGCAGCGCCCTTGGAATCTCTCTCTAGATATATTTTTTTGGAAGAGACGCGAAATTCGTCGCAGAAATGAAGGGTGTCATACGTATTGCCGGTGTCACCGGCCGTATTTGACAAGAAGCTCATTCACCGTGTCCAAATGTATTTCCCCCGAGAATGCTGGCCACGAATAGAAAAAAAACATGGCAACGCGCTTGTGATTTTGCTACAACGGGAATGCACTTAAAATAGAGGATTTCCCGGAGCCCTTAATGGGCTCGAGCCTTCGAAGTAAACAGAGAGTGAGCGAGACCGTCGGTAAGGCCTATTAGTGATTTTAGCACAAATCCCAACTTGAATGGATTTCCGGGTTTCGGAAAGTCCTCTGTGCACATGCCAAGTTTGAAATGACAAAGCGTTGTCCAGTAATTGCCAAACTTGTATTGATGAAAATTATTTTTTTAAATTTAAATTTTGCTCGCAAAATTAGTGTTAATTAATTAAGAGGGGTTAAATTTTAAGAGAAAATTTATGAATAATTAATGTAAAATGATGATTAAATATATTTAAAAAAATATCCAAAAAATTTGCTCCTTGTAAACTAACCAGCCGCAATAAAAATTTGTCAGAATGATATGAAAAAAAAGATATTATTGAGAGACAATTTCATTTTCAAAAATCTCAACAAATTCGTCTATAGCAACTATTGAAAAGTTACAAAAAAATCTAATCAATCAGCATTCATTGAAAATCGAGAAGGAAAACTTTTAATAATTTTTATCCAGAAAGAATTTATTTTTATAAAACTGCGCCCAGATCAATTCATTGACTTTTCTTTTTATTCTCACGAGTTCATAGCATTTTTCGATAACAATTCTGTCGTATCTTAAATATTTAACAACTTTTGATATTGGAAATGAAATTTTAGCAATTTAATTTATTAATATTGTCAAAGAAATATATTAAAATCAGCCAATTCATAGATTTTTATTTTATTTTGGGAATTTTCAAAACTTGTAAAACACGGGCACTTGTTGTCTCCCTTGCAATTGAGCTCTTTTTATTATTAATATTAATTCCCCAGTCTCATATCGCCTTCAAGCATGTGCCGCCTAAATCTCGTTAATATATAACATCGGCGTCAAAAGGAGAGAAATTATGCCGAGTTTCGCCAAGTAAACACATTACCGCGCATCTTCTCTTTGTGTCCTTGGCTCGCTTTGACTGAGAGGGAAATACAAACACCGAATTCTTAAGCGCAATTTGCATCCAAATGCGGACAAGCAGTCGCCGCGAACACAAAAGCGGCGGCGACTTTTCTCCACGTCGAGTGACAATGCGATTAAGCAAATGGAGGGGCTGTTTCTGCAAATGAGAGAAAGAGCCGCTCTCTGCATCTCAATCCACCCTCACTTGGGCCTCCAACACAGCTCCTTTGACTGTGACACCCACACAGAGAGAAAATCGTCGCTCAATTTGTCTCTCACTTGACTTGCACGACATTGAGAGAGATTTTTGTATTCACAACAGGTGTGCTGAAGTAATGAACAGGTTGGCAAACTTCTGCATTAAAGCTGCTTGCAAATTAATTCAACTAATGATGCGTCTAAGTAAATAATTAGGATTATTGAAATTATTATCAAAATAAATTAAAAGATTTTAAATTTGCTAAAAAATTGTAATTTTACATACATCATAAATTTATTTCTGAAAAGCTTTTCAATTAAAATTTTTGAACTCAAATTTTGTTTGTAGTTGTTGATTTACAATTTTTGGCTACAATTTTTTCCAACTTCATCTTATATCTGTAGAATAAGTGCAAAGCAATTAATTTTTCTCGCTATCTGCAACCGAGGGTTATCGAACAACAGATTCGGTAGAGCATGTGCAGACACACTTGTGAAAGGGACGTGGAGTGTGAATTCGTGGAAAAGCCTATTAGGTCTGGTGAGCGCTTGAATGGAAATCAATGTGATCAATAACTCCAGCATTTCCACTCCTTCGAACGTCCGGATATTATTCCAACTCTCAAAATTAATGCTTGCTGAACTTTTGTGCGGTAAAATTAAAAACTAGATTTTGTAATATCTTCTCGCGAAGCAGGAAACGTGTTTTTGGAACAAAGCCCGCTCCATCTAAAGCTCTGGAAACAAATAACGGCAATTTCCTCTGGGAATCAATTAGTTGAGCGTGGAAATCTCAATTTCGCGCGTCGACTGTCAAATGTGACAATCACACCAGAGCTTCAAAGTTGAGCGGGGTGAAAGCGGAGAAACGAATTGAATTCCATTTGTGTTGCAGACTTCCCGCTCGGCACAAGTGCTGCGCGGGTGGCGCGTTGCCCCTTGACAAATGACGTGTATTTACGGCTGGCTGATGATGAGCGGAACATGTTTGCACGTGAGCACATCACACAAAATAATCTGTGCTTACGGGAAATGGCATTCGAAAGGCATCAAAGGATCTGACGAAAATGGAAATTTGAACGGTAAAATTTTTCCGATCAATTTTTTTATATCAAGGATAAAACGGTAGGAAAACCTGTTGAGGAGCAGTGGAATGTGTGCCAGATAAATAGTTTCCCTTTACGTAGCAGAGGTGGGGATTTTTTTATCTTTTTATCGAAGTTGACCTTATGACATTTTGTTTCTTTCGCTAACACATCAGATAAAATTGATTTGAATTTAATGGCATCGGAAACTGCTGCTTTTTATAGTCGAGGGTCGCATAAAAGTATAAACGATGCAAACAAAGCGTGCGGAAAATTGCCATTGATGCAAACAATCAGACTTTCTAAAGAGGACGTTCGCGTGACGAGGAAATAAAGTCTTCAAAGTTGTTTCGTGTTGATGCGGACTCTTTATTTTATGACCAACAATGTAAAAGAGAATTTTTATTGCTTTAATAAATAACAAATTAATTGGTTATGGAACTAAATTTCCAAATCTGGTCAATATATTTCCGGAAATTTCGCTACTAATGTTTGTTTGAGCCAATGCTTTCATCAATTAAAATTTTAATTTAAATTAAATAATAAATACAAAAAGATTAATTCAGCACTAAAATGATTTATATTGAATCACATTTATAACTATTTTTATCGTAATTAGTTTAACATTTCAATTTTTCTTTCAGCATTGGCTACAGTTTTAGTCTAGAAGTTTTTAAATTAAAACCGACTTAATGGCCTGGTGTTTACTGACAATGAGAAAGCCAAGGGGTTAAAAGGATTCAACTTGATTTTCGCATAGTTGCAAATTGATAGACTGTCGATGGAAAGAGGAAAGTTGAAAAGCGCTTATTCTCAGAGCAAATATCTCGCGACTTCTCTTCGCAAGTCCGCACGCTGTAATTCACGGCCCAAGTTTATGCCCTCGCGCAAACGGCATGCGTGCGCGCGTCGAGTGAGTTATTAAGACCCCTGCAGGGACCATTAATTCACGTCCCAGCCTCGCGGTAAGCATCCCGGTCATAAATCCAGTGCTGAATGGAACATGCAGTCAGCTATTTGAGTTTTGAGTGTGCAAATTGATATTCTAGGTGGATTTTTTTTTTCATTGAGGAGGGCGTTTTTTTTTTACTGATTCATAATAAGAGAAATCCACTTGAAATTTTATATCTTTTAAATGAAATATTCGATCAATTTTTTTCTTAGTTTCTGTTCTAAAAATAATTCTTTTAAATTATAAAGTTTCACCTGATACCTTAAGTAAGATCAATTAAAATAAAAGGAGATAAATGCTTAATGACACCACGAAGTTTTCATTTAGATTTTTGTATTGGAAAACTTGTGAAATCTTTTTATGTATTTATTAATTTTATTATTTATTTAATAAATATTTTAAATTCACTGCAGTCATTTTACTTTAGTTTTTAATTTTTATGGTTTATATTAATAAATCAGTCACTAAACGTGAGTGGAAATAAAACAAAGGCAAAATTAAACAGAATAGAATTCATTCATTTGTCCTTTCAATGTATGTATTTTCAGTATTTTGCTTGTTGTCCCTCAATTTCTGAGAATTTGCAGTTCGACTGTTCTCGAAAGAATTAGAAGCAATTTGTTTGCATTCATTGTGCTTTTTATACCTATTGTTTGTCTAAAAGAAAAGCTGGGAGAGAAAGGAATCCTCTCTCAGGACAATGCCTAATTAGAGGGTGTGAGTAAAACAAGCGAAATAAAAGAGCTTCGCCGCGTCACCTTCAAAGAACTAATTAATCCAAGCAACAATAAAAAAATCAACTGGAGCCTGAAATAACAAAACGCGTCTTGCCAGTTTCCCGGCAACCGACGAATAAGGGTAGGATCCGTTTCAAGTCTCAGATTGCACTTCGCGTTAATCCCCTCTGAAGCAATTAAGGCGAAAATTAATTAAGCGGCTATAAATCTGGGTGGGACTAAATTTCCGATTCGCGGAAGCGGCGACGAAAGATGATTGCGAGTAATGAGATGATTTCAGCTTTGATCCTCACAGATGGGAAGAGGATGAAGGACATTGGATATGCTTGCGGGCGTTTCCATTTTCAAATAAAATCCGCAGATTCGCCACTTTGATATTGGATCGGTCAAAGAAAATTTTCGCCCATATATTCGAACAAAGAGATTATGACCTACTTTCCAAGCGGATTAAATTTTAAATTTTAATTACAAAGAATTGAAAAAAAAATAAAAGTTTACTCACTCATGCTGCTGGTGCGTTCGGAGGCGAGCGTGGCCGACGACGAGGCGAGTTCGGAATGTCCGGGGATGGCGTCCGAGCGCCAGAGGACGCGGACGATTTGCCAGTAGGCGACGGTCATGAGCACCAACGGCAGCGAGTACAGCAGCACCACTTTGACGCACAAATACACGATTTCCGTCTCGGTGCTCCAGTTGGGCGCGCACTGAGTGAACAAGTGCGACGAGACACGCAGCTTGGGCGGCTGCGTTTGCAGGGCCAGCAATTCGGGAATGTCTGCAAGCAGAAAAAGATTATTCAATTTACAGACTACAGAGCATCTCTAATCAAAGTTGGGCGACTTCTTTGTGCACAATCGGAAAAGGGATAAAAGGAGTTTTGTAACAAAAGAAACTTCTGGATTGACTACAACTTTTTGAATATAGTGCAAAAAATATTGAACAAAATAGCTCTTTTCAGCAAATAATAAAAAATTCGTCTTATGATAAATTGTTGAATTGTCATGAAAAACGTTTCCAATTTCCAGTTTTTGAATTTAACTTTATATCCAATATTTTTTATCTTTTCCATATTAAATTTTTGGAAAGTATTGATTTTGGCAATGATGAGATCGGGCTTGTCCTCGTTGAAAAATTTGTTTAAAAAAAAACGGATTGTTTTGTATTTTTCTTGGTCACGAAAGAGGGTCACAGACCGTGACCGAAACTGGTAGAGTAGATTTTTTTAATAAAAACAAAATTTTAAAACGAGGAAAAGCCCGATTTCTTCATTTCCATGATCATCTCCTCAAGAGTGAATTTCTTCAAGCAAAAAAGTATTGATTTTCTTTAATTTTTTTGAGGGTGACAAACCCCGTTTTCTTTTTTTTATTGCCGTTATTACAGTTTTATTTTTACATTAAAAACGGTTAAAAACAATTTCAGCCAATAATTTCAATATTTTCTTGTTAATTTTTTTTTTAAATCATTCAAAATTTACTTGTTTATCTTGATCTGCGACCTGAATATGAAGATGAAAAATAACAACTTGGTGTTTTAATTTTTGCTAGTGGTGATGCCTTTTTGTCCAACAATCTCTTTTTCTTAAATAATTGTTTTTCAAAAATTGAATGTAAACAATGTATTTTTGTAACAATGTGGACAAATAAACAACAATAATAATAATATAAAATTTAAGTTGATTCTCTTCGTCTTTGCAAAATTTGCAAAAAAAATGCATAACTAACATATTTGTTTCTTGTCAATGCAGGATTTCAACTACTAAATTTATCTTGCAATTACTATTCCAAGCCGGTTCATAACTTTCCCACGAAACTTTAAGGTTATTTGATTATATTCTAAAGACACGTGTCTTGATTATAATTGTCTTGCTGACGAAATCTCATTAGCAAGTTTTCGAAGTAATCATTATTTTCCATAGTTAGCATTCCAGAACAGACACTTCTTGTCAATTACGCTAATTGTTTGGGACGGTGCGCTCGCCGAGACAAGTGGTCCGTATAAAATGTGTAACGAGCAAACATTAATTTCTCATGAGCAAGGCAAGGTCGGAAAAAGCCGTCCTCAGGGGAAATATTATCTTGCGCCTCGGGAATTTCAACGTGAAGAAATATTGCTCGTGGGCATCAACGCGGAACAAGGAACAGAGAGAAAGTGGAAGTATTAAAAAAGTTTCCTAAACTTTTTACTTTTATTGCGTACACTGAAATTTATCTTCATTGACGAAAACAATGAAAAAATTAGTTGAATAATTGTTTTGACATGGTCGACTTTATGATGGTTTTCGCTGAATAATTAAGTTGTAAAAAAAAGCATTTTATGTCCCACAACAAAACACGTAAGTGCGCTTTTTATGGTCGATAAAAGCCAACTCTTTGCTCTTGAAAAAAAGTGAGCGGATTGAAATATATTTACGAGAACAAGATACAACTCCCTCGGGTTGTTTATTAAGATTGCCGTTGGGCAGTAGTGGGACGTGATGTTCCGCCGGCGAATTCGTGTATACGTCGTGAATAATTTGTTTGGCCCAGCAGTAAATAATATTGCTTATAGGCTTCCATTTTTCTTATGTACGCGAACGTAAGCAACTCTTCGATCCATCCGTGCTCGCTGACGAAACTCAATTTTAAACAGACCGCGCCGAATGGAAACTTTATTGGCTTGTTTCAAAGAAGACACGGAGCAGAAGATGGCATAACTAATGTTTTGTTTACTCGGAATGTTGCCTGGCTAATCTCGTTCTCTGCGGCTTTCCATTTGCTGAGCAAACAAAAGGTGCTGCAGCTTCCAGTTCATCGCGTTAGGGATTTTTCGGGAGATAAAATCTTGAAAGGAGCAAAACTTAATCCAATTTTATTCGTGCGCCATTGATTTTTATTAAAAGGTCAGATGTAAGGGCTGATTGTATAGCCTAGGATGTATTTTCAGTCACAAATTTTGTATTAAAACAGAAATTAATTTTATCAATAGGTGTTTATTTCATTGTAGATCAATTATTCCATCAGCACCGTTACTTATAAAAATAATTAAAAAAATTATTATATTGGTGTTTATAGAAACTACATGAATATAAAAAGTGATTATTATAAACAATTGGTTTTAATTTGATTCATTACGCAAATTACTCATTATAATTTAATCATATTTGGTCATAATTAAATACTAATGTGGAAAAGTAAAAAATATAGTTGATTTCAATTTTAATTATTAATTATCTTTTGGTTTATATCAGTTTATATCAATCATTATTTTATTTAACAGTCTATTAATTTAATTATTGCATAATTATGAAGATGAATTTGGCTACAATTTTAAATTTTGTTTTACAAAAATATTGTTCATTTTTTGCATATAAAATATAATTTTTCCACCCAACAAACCATATCATAAAAGCCTCATCCACACGTGCCAGACAAATGAGGAATGATATCCTAAAACAAGATGAATGTGAGCTGCACGTTTGCAAAAGTTTGCGCACATCTATTATTATATCACAAAGCCCAGACCGCAACAACTGGCGGAGAAACATTTTGCACGAATGAGGGATGGCGCTGCGGCTCTCATCTCGCATTTTCGCCATTGTTTTGTACGTGCGCTTGCGGTGCTCTTATATTTGCAAACCGAATGAGGGACAATTATTGCCGGCCGGACTTATCGCAGCGATTTGTTGGGTGCGAACGACGCCTTCTGGCTTGCGCAGACTATAATTAAGTTGCGCGACGTGCCACTTTGGCAAATTGGAATGTCCGCGACGAAAAAGCACTGGAACAAAAGAGCTGACGCTTGTTTATCTTTCTTTGGGGTGAATTAATTGGATGGGTGAAATGTTCAAATTGAATTCAATTCAACCGTTAAAAATAAAGTGGGATATCCATGTGCTAATTTATTTATGTAATTTCTGTATTTATAGTGGTGATTTATGAGATAATCATGCACCCAATATAATTAATAATTATTAGAAAAAATAGTGTAAATAACATTTTAAATATTATATATTTAAATAAAAAATGTTTTAATTTTCATAATTTCTTTCATATTGATAGTTTATATCAATTATAATTTGCAATTTTGTGAATAAACTGAATAATGTAGTCTTTTTAACCAGTTAAAATGATAAGAGCTCGTAAGAATTTCAGAAGAACTTTAAACATTTCAAGAAAAAAAAACGTTAATCTTTCATCTAAAATAGTTTTTGAAATCTCCATTATTACTATAATTATTATTTAAATCTTCTCGCCCATAAAAATTTAAAATTTTTAACCAAGCCCGGTGGCCCAGTGGTTAGAATGCTTGCATTCTAATCAGTGGGTTCCTTGGCCGTCATGGGATCAATGCTCAGCCTGGGGCTGTTTGTGGAAACAAATAGCCTCTGGTATGCGAATCATTGATAACATTTCGGCTGACACGTCGGGAATTTGGGAGGTATGGCGCAAGCTGTACCGACTCGCACTCGGAGGTTTGCCACGTTTCCTCCGAGCCACAAGCTGGAAGAACTCAGCTTGTGTGGCGAATGCCTGCGTTTCATTCCAAGTCCTTCGTGGCAAGGCCAGGGCAAGGTCTCAAGGGGGGTGGGGGGCCCATGCGAGCACCACCAAATCTGCTAGAAAGCCCCCGAACAAGGGTCAGGTTGGTTGGGAAGCACAAATGTGCTAAGGGTGCTCGACTTCGGCAAGAGACCGACCCAATAGCCTAATAAGCTCACGGGTGCCATAAGCAAAAAAAAAAAAAAAAAAAAAAAATTTTTAACGCCCGACATCAAAAGAGACTCGGCCGCCGCGCTAAAACCACGTTATTGAAAAAATGGAACAAAAATCTGTGTTTAAAAATGTATTTACTCAAAATTAAATAAAACATGATTTTTCTAGTTCAAAGTACCACGGTTAATATTAATTTTGAAAAAAAAAAATTATGCCAACGAACAAAAGAACTATAAATTAAGGAAACAGTTAAAGTTGCATTTGAGCTCTGAATGGAAAATTTTAAAAGAAAATTTCAGATGCGAGAGCAAGTAAGACCAAGTTTAAAAAAATTTGTTTAATATATTTCCAATTTATAGAGGAAGCATTTTTCCTTTATTTTATTATAACTATGGAAGACATGAAAAGTTATTAAAAAGTATGCTTGGGTTTTGCGCCTGCGGCAATTCTGCGAAAAACCACCTAACAAGATTTCTCCCTCGAAAGTTGCGAAAAAAGCAAAATTAATAAACAGAGCGGCTCGTTTCAAGCAAAATAAAATCGGCATGACGGTGCAGTAAAGGTGATGCGAGTTGGGAATTGATAGGGGTGAACATAATGCAATATGTGAAAGGGAAAACGTGTCGCGACTTACCAACGGTGAGGGCGACGAGCCAGATCAGCAGGATGGCAGTTTTGGCCCTTCCGGTGGTGCTCTTGAACTTGAGCGGGAAGCAGATGGCGTACCAGCGGTCCACGGAAATGAAGGTCAGCGTCAGCACCGACACGGCCACAGACACCGTCTGCAAACAGACCACACACGAGCAATTATTGTTTCGTTAATAATGCACACACAGCTATTAATTTAACACGCTCAGCAAAACCAAGATTCCAGGGAGGTGGAATTCACGAATTTATCTAGTTTCCCTGGAGGGAATGCTTGGAATTTGGCATTGGACTGTTTTGCAAGCATGTCTGTGGATGCCTTTATGAGGCTTTGGGAAATGTATTGGGCAGACATGCACATGTATTAAGCACAGAGAATTCGTGGAGGAAAAAAATAGCTAAGTTATAATTCAATTGTATTTCAAAATCCTCCGCATACCTGATAAAGGTTAAAAGGAAATTAAATGAAAATATTTATTTCTTTCCAAAAAAACTTTCCATCTGACATGAAGCATGATGGTTTTTATTGTGCACAAAGTTTTGATCAATAAGTGTTAATTTAAGTTTTTGTTTATTTTCAGTATAAAACATTTTGCCATTAGAACTCGTATAAAAATTTCAATTAATTGAGAATATTATTAAATGAATTTATTTATAGGATCAATTTTGTTATTGGAAATGAAGAAATCGGGCTTTTCCTCGTTGCAAAAATTGTTTTTATTCAAAAACAAATGGCTCAATACCAGTTTCAGTCACGGTCTGCGAACCTATTTCACGAGCAAGTAAAAAATAAAAGTCAGCAATTGAATTGAAAAAAAAATATTATTTATTTTTTATTTATTATATTTTAACATATAAAAAAAAATTAAAATCTTTAAAATAACAAATTCAAGTACCAGCCTATTTTGGACCAATTAAGTCGATTTTAAAAATTTCTAAAGTTCAGCGAGTAAAAAATCTAAATTTATAACAACAAATAATATTATCAATTGGATTTTTTGCTTCATCATTGCCTCATTTAAAAGTTTTTACGTTCTTTCTTATAAACAGTATTAAAACAAAAATGATACTGCTTTGGTTTCAATCCAATGTTGATAGAGTTTCAAATAAATTATAAATACGCTTTTTGATGAAAAATTTCACTTCAAACTTGTAGGGCGTCTCAGTGTTTACCTTTTAATTAACGCGATTTTTCTGGAACCAGTGCCCAAAACTAAAAACTCTTTTGAACCATATTTTTCATCAAAATTCCTCTCACGTTTTGTCGCACAAGATTGCGGTAAAAAAGTAAAAATTTCCCTCTCCAAGCAATCTTGCGCTCAACGAGGCCGAAATTAGTCCTTGAGTGGGTAGCGGCGGGTGTTATTTTTCTTTTTTTTTTTTAATTTTATCTCGGTGCTTTAATCCCGGTTCACAGGTGGCGGAATGCGACTGACATGTCGTCGGCCACGCCGCAGAGTGGCTTTCGCGATAAGGGGCTTAAACCCTGCAAATTATTCAGCGCGGCTCCGACTCAACTTTTCGCCGCCACGAGCAGAATCTATTCGAGGCCAGATTAATCCAATTTCCAGCCATTTCGCTACGATGTCATCCTGTGAAAAAAAAACAAGCCGTTTTTTGCCTCGGGACAAGAGCGTATGTGGCCAAAATTTACTGTTTCGCCGCAGCCGACGTGCCTTATCATATTTTTTTTGCCCTCGAATAAGAGCAAAAAATTGATGCTGAACTGCTCATTTGAAATGGAGGTGCTCGATCCCGGTTCTGCTCTCGGAATTGCCAATTTGCTTTTTGCGTCTTTCACGTCGGATCCAAAAAGAGGTTTGTTGATAAAACGACCTGGTAGCGATTCAGTCCAAAATAATACTCTTGTTGATGCCTTCGTGAGTTGCTGAGAGGGATTTTAGCTCTACAGGGTGAAGCAAAAACTAATGAGGGTTGCAATTAGCCTTCAGATAAGCTTCCTAGCAAATATGAATATTCAATATTTTATGTAAAATAGAATAGCCAAAGCCGTAAATAATTACTTTCCCCATACGTAAACATCGATAAAAAAAAATAGGTGAATTTTATTGAGGGCTTATTGGTACTTATACAATTCATAATCACGGGAATTTTAATTGCAGAAGAAAAGCAAAACTTTCTTGAAAAAGTTATAATTAGTTATTAATTTCTTGTCTAATCATAGACAGCAGATTGTCGAGAAAAATGGATGGAATATTAAAAATAGCATATTTAATATCAATTAAATTAAAAATTTCAAGTTTCTCTGGCACGTTTAATGCGTTCAATAAAATTTCCTCTGTTTTGTTAAATTATCAACAATTTAGGCCCTTTCATAAGTCATAAGATATATTTATAATTATAATTAATGGCAGTAAAATTTAATTAATTTACAAAAGCCTGTTACGGATGCATAAACAAAATTAATTAAAGTCTTTCTTTGTAATTTTGATTTGATATTAACGAAAAAAAAATGCACAAACCAAAGATTTATTTCTCATAAAAAAAAAATTAGTGGGATGCTTGGTAATGATTGAAGAAACGTTTGAAAGCAGACACCCACATCATTTGAGACTTTAATTGGCAAAAAAAAACTTCAAAGAACTGTCAAACAATTAAACAAAATTAACTTTCCACCTCGGTGGTTCCTCCTGAATATTTTTTTTTTTTTTTGAACAATGACAGCGAGTAAAATTTAGATATTCTGGTTTATTTTCAGCCATCTCCTGCTTTGACGAAAGGAGACTCGGTTTCGTGTTTTCCATTGCGTGTATAATTCGGTTATCCGCGCCACCGAGTAAATGTGAATTCAAACTTGTGGTCCAAACAACGGCCCTTTGGTTTGAAGCTTCACCGGCGTCATTGTGTGGGAAAGCCAGCCATTTATTTCAAGCTTTTGCAAATAAAATTGCACCTTCTCCGGTGAAATTGGATCGCACCAGCGTAACTTCCAACTCAACTCAATTCCCGCTGCGAATTAACGTGCACGATGAACCCGACCTAACCGTGAGTTTGAATAATTGCCACTGTAGTGCTTCAAGCGAACGGAATACGTTTTGGATTACATTTACACGCATCTGGCAAATTCGCTGCTGACGAGAGTTATTATTGCGTAAATGTTATTCCCATGCGCGACTGCGAATTCTCGCGATCAATCAAGCATTCAGATGAGTCGCGAGTTAGTTTATTCAGCGCGACACTTCTCATTTTTGTTAAAGTTGACAGAAGATTAATCTACAGGCAGAATAATTGAATACTGACGTCATCCATCGAATCAAATGCTGGAACTGTTTGTTATGAGGTCTTTTTATAAAAATAATACCACTTTTAAGCTCGCTTGAAATTAAGCTGGCTTGGAAAATATAAATATAAACACTATGGTTTTTTGTGCTGCAAAAAGGGTTCAAATATTTAAGCATGATGTTGTTTACAATTGTTTAATTATTAATTTATAGTAAATATTTTATGGTTAATTTTAACTAGTTTTTAATATTTATTTATTATAAATGATTAATACTCTATTATTAACATTTTTTAAATCAAACTTTTAATTTTTAAATTGCTTTTGAAGAATTTCAGTCGATTTTTAAGTTGTCTTACTCTCTAAATAAAATCTAATAAAATCTTTAATTTAAAAATTAACTAATTTAAGTCTGTTTAAGAGTGGCTTCGTGAAGATAAATACAAATAGTAAAAAACACTATTGAATTGGCTATAAGCTATGAAGTCACATGCATATGAGGTAATTTATTCCTTTTAATTAAAATATTGACTTATATATCAATAAAAAGACCTTAAATTTTCAAAGAAATGGAGAATTTAAAAAAAAAAAATCAATTTTTTGCGAGATTTTATCAATGTTGCAACTGCCAAAACCAAGTGGTCACTCAAATGGATAAAATTAAATATTTTTGGTGAATAAGAAATGAATTCCGATATTTTTTATAAAAAAGTCACCTGCATCTTCAGAAAAAAATGTAAAATTTTGCATGCTTTTTCCTTGCGCAAAATTAGATTTCTCCTTCTTTAATTCTGCCTTTCCTTGCAAATCTATTTTGCAATGAAAACATCTGCGGAGGCAAAATCAATTTTTGCCTCACTGCGGTATTTTTTCCACTGGCAATCAAATTATTGCCGAGTCGTCGTTCCCGAGCGAGACGTAATTACATCTGTGTGTTTCTCCTCTACCTGTCTAATAACAATGTCCCTTTCTTGCCGGGAAAAATGACTTTCCGCCCACCGGACGGAACGCCGGAGCGACACAATAAAAATAATAATCAAGACATCTCGCAAAGGTGGACCGAGACTGAAAGGCTTCTCCGCAACGGTATTTTCCTGTCGCAAACAACTATGGAACTTTTTTCTCCCCTCGGCCGTAAACATTTCTCAGATCTAATTTGCCAAGGAAATGCCACGGTTACTGTGCTTTTTTGATAGTGTCAAAGTTTCCTGTTTCATTTCCAGCTGATATAAAATTCAAACTTTTACTATTAAAGCAAACTTTACAATTCTTTCATTTTATGCAAAAATTTTTTATTATTTTTCTATCCAACAAAAGTACTACGATATTTGAAAAGTGTTGAATTATCAAGTTTCTGGCTAAATATTTATCAACGGTTTGAATAATGAAGATTTTTTTTAGACAATTAATAAGATTTTTGGTGGAATAAAGAAAAAAAACTACCTTTTCCTTTTTCAAGTCTAGTCTGTCTAGTCTATTTTAGATCAGGCCCCGGGTGCAATTTTAGCAGCAACGTATCAATTCACCAGGCCATTATCATTAGCCTCTGCTTGTAATCAAGTTGAATCAAAACAAATTCCCCTATCCGTCACTTTCCTCCTCATCTGGGGCTTCTCCCTTTTGTTACTAAGCAACAATTCATCCTCTGCTCGCAAACTTGATTCCCAAAACAAAGGGGGTCGCTTGACAAATACGCATCATTTCAAAAAGATGATTTACTGGCGGTGCCGACGAACTTCACTCATGCTTCCTTCGTTTTCGCTTAATTGAGACAAATGAAGCGACGCGCACCATTCGGGCGCGCCTCTAAACACTTTGCAGCCTTTTGTTCACCGGGACAAACAAGCGCGGTTAAACGATCCTTGAAAGCTTTTTGGCACGGGTTCGCAATACTTG